CGCAAGCTTGAACCTATTTTTGCGTAAACATTAAAAGAAATCCAGTTGTGAGAAAATAAAGAGAGACCCAGAAGAATAGTTCGGAAAGGAAAATTAAAAGACTTCAGCCTAATTTATAAAAGCACTTACTTTGCACGAAAGACTTCGGTCGTGCAATGTATCAATCATTATCGAGTTTGACGGTAATTCAACATTTCGATAGAATCTTTGATGTTACTTTTTATTTAATTTTGTCCGTGAAAATTATGCATTTAAAAGCAAACTATTTTTTGGCACCTGCAAAAAAAGTTAGATAATCCCACAAAAGGTCTATGAATAATAAGAAATGCTTTCAAAGGAAAGACAGTTATCATCGATTATTGCCGGCAATGTAATGGACTTATTGGTAATTGTTACTGACTTAGGCACAGGTATCATTGATAATCTCAGCTTTATTGTCCCTTAAAAGCGGTCTTAAGTGTCCAAATATATTCGAGAATGTTGTTGCAAAATGGTCAGGCTTAATCCCATTATTGTTGTTTTTATAAAAACAACTTTTGTTTTTAGTGGAGAGCGATGGAAGGGGGTAAGGCAGGGAATACCTAGGTTTCGGTTATTTTAAAAACAACTTCTATTTTTTTACCCAAGTTCGAGAATACATAATTGCAACATATTTTACAACATATGTCAGATATTATCACCAAGAATAATTATGAAAAATTCTCCAAAGATTTATAACGACGTATAATTCTTAACGTGATATGAAAAAAATTTGCAACATTTCCCCACGTAGACTAACGCATAGCTTTTGATTCTCGCTTACATGAGCAGCAAACATTTGTCTTGCGAAATCAAAAGACCGCCATAATTTGTCGTTGCCAGGACATTAAATAGACAGGTGGGCTGTGGGCCAACGTATTTTAGGCCCTTGTCCTCTAATAAAGATGTCAGTTGGATTTAAGAGTACAACACATTTTCTTGTACCACAAAAATCCATTAGAGCTGACAAAAAATAAGAATGGGCAGAGCACAAAGCTCAAGCCGGCTACTTGGCTGGCTGAATGAAGTACTTGCGACTAAGTATGTATGTATGCATTGTTTGGGTTTTTATCAAATGCGTTAATGTTTATTGCAACGCCTTACTTACTTATAAACGGATCCCAGGGCCAACTGGGACACATACAAATGCCCTGCATATTCGTGGCTACACATTTTCCCCCTAACGAGAACATAAACTTGGTTCTTTCGGTTTGTGTTCCTTGCAAAATTTATTATGGAACATGCCCAACAGATAACAGTCGACATGAACGGTCAAAATAGAGTTGCGTCTTGATCTGTTGTGCACTGTTTGTCGATGGGGCCAGCCTTTGGCATTAAAGTTACATTAAACATTTTGTTTGTCTGTTGGTACCAAAGGGAGAGATTAAACGATTCGCATACTGCTCTCTGCTTCGATATACGCTACTCCGACTGTCAAGGAAACACAAAAAGTCAAGATCAACTTGGAAAAAAACGCCACTTGAGAAAGTATTGCCGAAATTCCTAAATAAAGATAAAGTAGCGAGATTGCTATTTCAAGGCAATTTACATGTACACACACACATACATACGAGCATACATATTTGTATTTTGTATTTATCGTGAAGCACCGTGGTATTAAATGTACAATACCGCAGTCTCTTCGATCCCATCTGGAGGAATGTGAAGCTTCAAAATACCGAAAGTCAAGAGCTATAGCAAAGATTGGACCTATTTATATAGGTCTTTTTGCAGGGTGGAAATGTCCAACTGCAGCAAATTAAGTTAGATATGGTGACTAAAATCTATAAAGGCGAAAATAGGTAAACTTTGCCATTTTTCCCTCTAACAAAGTATTCACCCCGTTTTTATAATAACAACAAAAATGGAAGTAGGCATGGCCGGATATCCGGCAAATATTTCGAGGTGTTGCGATCGGAATGGTAAATTTAATATATTTAAATATCGATTGTGTGCTGACATTTTGCGAAAATATGTTATATTTTTCTGCAGTTAGGTATAGTCCTCACCGATTCAATGTGGATGGGTGTTTTTGCGAAAATTTCCAACAGAAATTCCAGAATTTGATATTTGGATTATCAAAAAAAGGTAAATACCCATAAAATGGTATTTACTGATTTTGGGTATCAGAAATTTTTATGGGTTCGACCACAATTTCCAACGGACTTGTCTATGACATTTTTTGAAATTGGTTTATGCTTTTATAGGGCCCCCATATAACAGTCACGAATTTTTTGCCGACATAGAGAAACGGATCCTGTGTGAAGGTTCACAATTCCGCGTAACTTTGATCATGGTTCCTACCGGTTTCACTCATATTTGCAGTAAAATGGAATTTGGAATTTCGGTATCGATATTTGCCAAGGTGTGCTTTATCCTCATATTTTGAGTTGCGTACCAATGTCCAACTATAGCAAGCCATCCCTGTTTTAATTAGTGGTACAACAATACCAACTACCTACCTATAGACCTGGAAAGTTTATTCCCAAAAATAACAAGGAAGACAAAATCATGGAACGAAATAGGCGATTCTGTTGTTCTTTCCATGGGTGCTTTCATTTGTCATACATTTCCATTTTTTTTTCTTATAAAAATTTGTTTAAAATTAAAGCATGATGTTGTTGGTGTTGCCTTGTCGTTTCCACACAACACAAAGTGATCTTAATTTTCAAGTGAGATCAACACTTGGCCAATCGGGATTGGCGGCAGCTGCTCCATTCGAGCGTGAGATGTTAACATTAAACCCAATGGGCTGATGTCAACTTCTATTTACGGTAAATCTGTTTCGTCTTGCCTTGTTTGTTGTGGCTGGTGACTGTCGTTTGCTGAGCTCAGTGACAACCGCGTTAACATCGAGTGCTGGCTGGCGTGGAGGTGACAATCCAGGCTACAAAATGCTTGCAAATTGTTCCTGACATCATCATGGCAATAACATTGCTCCTTGGCATGAAGAGAAGGTATTAAGATACATTCATTTGTCGGTATGTCTGTCTGTCGGTCGGTCCGACTGCCGTGCATGAGCAAACTGATGCAGTCCTTGGCCTTCACTTGCCTTGGATTGTCATGTCATGTTGTTTGCTTGCGGTTCATTTACTCTCAACTCCAATGGTGTTGGCATTTCAATGCGCCCTAATCGACAGCAACGCCGACAACAACCGCCAGCGACCGCCCTCTTGCCTTAATGCCAACTAAATATTCTGGCAAATAGCAGGAGATGCTATTTCGAGTGAGCATTCACATATGTATGTACCCACGGATTTAATTTGAACACTTAACCGTTACACATCTTCGATTTGTGATTAACAAGACTTTTGTGCCGCTACACTCGAAGAAAATGGTCGTATTTAGTTTTTCACCTTATCTCACCAAAGGCAAGAGTGTAATGATGGGTTTTTAGCTACTTTTAAAGAGAAACCAAAAGATGAAGGGAAAACTTATCTAGAAGTTATCCTTAAAACTTTTCTTTTTAATTCCAACATTTCTTGGCATCAAGTTGTTTAAAACCCATCAAAAATGTCGAGCATTTGCTAGGAAGTCCTTAACAAATATTTTTGAAATCCAATTTATACCTGTCACAAGTTCCTTCAAACAATTCTCTTGTCCAAGAAGATCTTATAAAATCCATGATTTTTACCATGGTAGAAGAATACAGGTAACAGCAAGTGTTGCTGTACAACAATCGTAACAACAACCACATAGAAATTTGTTCTTGTACGTAATACAAGTGTCAGAGTTATGTGTCCAAAAATGTAAACAAAATAATTAATTTTCAATAAATTATTTTAAAATCAAACAGCATATATACATTAAGTATTCTACATTTTACAATTTTAGGAAACAGGAAATATATGAATATATTATCTAACGTGGTGTCGCTGTTCCTTAACCGAAAAAAAAAGTTTCCGAACCATCGCCTTTGGCGTTTTATTAACTACAACGGCAAAATATATGTTCACATTGCCCTGCAGTGAAATTTTATATCAAAAAGGGTATACCTATTGTATATCAAGAAATGGAATTAAATCTGATAATTTCTGGTCAGTAAGACGTAAGACGAAAATTGGCAATCAGGCACTTATTTACTTTGAAAGATTTTTCAAAAATTTCATTATTTATGTATTTATCTAGGTTTACGACATTTTTGACGTATGTATGATATGTCGGAAAATTATGTCATATAGCTCACAATTTTTTGACAGGCCATCTATGCTAACCATGCAATCGAGTTAAGCCACATTAATTCTTTGAGTGTATCCAAACATCACATCAGGCTTCCGACATGTATTTCATTCCCGCTAACGTCCGTTGAAATATATATGGCTGTTTCTTCCCAATTTGTATGTATTTAGTCCATTGACTTGTCTCCTATAAAGGACACAATGGAGGTCTCGAGCATCAGCGTGGGGTTGAGGTTTATTCATTTGCTGAAATGGTTTGACCTGTAATAATTTTCGGTAAGTGAAAGACAAATTCGCCAAAAAAAAAAACATTCTTGTTTAAGGCCACTTTAAGACAAAGTTGAGATCACGGCTGCTCAGGCAAAAGTAGCCAACAATGTTTGGGAGTTCTTTGCACAGTAACTACTAATTGCATTGTTTTGTTTCGATTTTTAAATCTGTTTGACTGGGAACATGAATTCATTAAAATCACTGCCAGCTGCGAATTATTTCAGAAGCAAAATATACGAGACGACAAAGATGAAATAAACTCCTTTATATTTCTAAATAAAGATTTTCTAAAGATCAATCTGGACATACGTACGTAAAATAAAAAATACGTACCTTTATGGGCCCAGTGAAATATGAAATTTTCAATAGAGGAAACGGTAGTTGGCAATTGCTGATGCCTTTCGATAAATGCATTTTCTATACCTCTTCAGTCAAATTGATGGCATTTTTTTTATTCTTTTCGTCATCATCTAATCATCGGGATTTCCTTTGGTAATTATCCTCTATTCTATGGCTTCTGATTGGTTGTGGAACTCCACACAATGCAGTGCAATCAGCGACGACACATCATTCCTGCGATGACGCAAATGAAAGAAGTGGATATCCCCGTTCAAATCATGAGTCTGTGATCCATGCATTCGCGCATGCGCTACACTAACTGCAAAGACAAACAGACCGACGACACACACAAACAGAAAGAATGCCTGGCAATGCATTGCAATGTTCTAAATTGTGGCAGCTACATAAATATGCAAAGGAGAACATAGCCATGGCTAAATATAGACCATCTAAGGAATTGAGCGAACTTCGCTAAGAATGCCATGGAGACAGAATAGAAGCGAACAAAACAATGGAAAGGTGTTGGAAAACTTAGCATCGTGAATTGCCAATCAGAATCAGACCGATTGGGTTGGGTGGGTATAAAAGGATCTGTCACAGTGTCAGTTGGCATCATAAGTTCTCGGGAAACGTTGCTGTGAAGTACAAACTCCTTACAAAGTGTTCTTTTGCAGACAGAACTACAATGAGATACTGCTTAGCATTGGCAACATTGGTGGCAGCAGCTCAAGCTGCCAGTGTGTCCTATTTGGTTAGCACTCCAACTCTGCGTGCCTATCCATATGTCTATGGCAGCCATGGTACCACAGTCATCACTCCCGTCCAGCAACAATACCACACTCAGGATGAACTGGGCCAATATGCCTATGGCTACAGTGATCCGTTGTCCAGCAAACAGGAAATTCGGTCATTGGATGGAGTAACCCGAGGTTCGTATTCCTATCGTGATGCTGAAGGTATTCTACAAACCGTTGACTATAGGGCCGACGACTCTGGATTTCATGTCGCAGCCACGAACCTGCCAAAGCCAATTGGCCACCAATCGACAATTTCCGATACAATTGCCACAGCTGCCGATACCACAAATTCCATTTCCCCAGATTCCGATTCTGAGTCAGTTAACCCAGCTAGCGAGTCTGGTGATGCGTTTTATCCGAGGGGTGGGGTGCGCTTGGCAGAGTCTGCAGCCGCTTACCCAAAATCTGTTCCAGTTGCAGCCCATGTTCGCTCTATGGAATTGCCTCAGTCCTTGGCGGATACCATTAAGGTGGCCCCGACCCAGGGTGTTTATGTGAGTCCGCTTGCGTCCAGAAATGTGGTTGTAGCCCGGCCATTGACTGTTGCCGGTTTGCAAGTGGCCACGAAATCACTGTTGCAGAAGGTCTACGGATTTGGATATCCCCTCAGTAAACAGTACATTTATTATTAACCACACACTTGGATGGATTGGATTTCTTATATTGCTTTTAAGTTATAGCTGCAATTTGGGCTTATTTCACAAAAATAAACATAAACTTCTAAAAAATTAATGCAAATAATTGTTTAAATTTTGAAAAATATTTGAAAAAGATTATCTCATGTATTATGTTCATGTAGTAAGCACTCATGATCATGATGTGGAAAAATATTGATATAGATTATTTTCTAGTTCGGTAAGCATAAGATGGCTGTCTTTACTAAGAAGGTAGCACTGAGACAGTTCTGACGTTCTCTAAGAATGCGTTATTTCATTGAATATTTCATTCTATCCTACACCACACTGTGTCTTTGTGCATTTCTTTGTAACACACAGAAGGAAGAGAGATACACCCATATTCTGAGATGATTTATGTTCTGTCCATATATTTTAGTAAACAAAGTACAGGTCTCAGCGATGTTCGGGGAAATATATCAAATATAGCACGGAAAAAATGTTACCAAATGTTATCGGGATCGGTTCATCCTAGAGGAAAGTGTATCAAATTTGGTGAAATCGGTTAAGATATAGCTATATGTCCATATACATGTTTTATCCGTCACCTCACACCGTAAAATAATCACCACAACCAATTATCAGATTCAGCATAGAAATACCTCTGCTTAATTTTATAGACATCGGTTCAGGTTTGAATATGTGTAGTTCCTATAAATATCTTCATGCGATTTCACGTTTACTCTTCCCAAAAAAGTGTAATATCAGCTCAAACAGGATAGATTTTGATTAGTATTGGTTCAAACATAAATGCCTCCGCCAAATTGAGTAGAAATTGATTCAAAAGAGGATATATCTCCCATATATTAGTGCTATTCGGCTTTAAATTATAAGTGCTTTAAAGCCATAATACGCATTCCAAAACGACCATAGTTGGAATGATTTAATTCCCATAAATGCCCCATAAAAACATCTATTCGTTATGGATAGCTCTATGGATAGTTGTGTAGGGTATCGTAAAGGCAGAAAGATATTTTTCTTAATTTACAATCCCCTTACCTCTTCCTTTACAGAGACTTGCCGCAAGTGAAATTGCCTAATGTAAATTTAAAATAACAGAATGTGTTGTTAAACAACTACTTGCAACAACAGCCGTATGGACATTTGTTGGTGGAAAGAAATACAAACGTCAAATAATGCTATTGAATATGACAAATTGACAAATTCTCTCTTGAATATAAATTCTATATAAGTCGGGTAGTCGGACAGATGCAAATTATTGTAGAATTTTATACTTTTTTACATGCATATACTTTCTAAGGTGTTATAAGACAATTTCGCATCACTACAACTGTTTTGTGCTAAATGGAAGACTCTCTTATGTTGTGTCGGATGCAAAACTTGGCTGGACTTTAGCGTACACAAACACATTCAGGACAAACACTGCAACATATTGCATAAATGAACAGACCCATTGTTTTCCATAATTGGCATTATCATTAATATAGTTTATCAATCAGCGCTAAGTTTATGACCGAAAGACCGGCCAACAACATTTAAAGTTTAATGCCAGCAACAGAAAGATATGATAGCCAAAAAATGTGTTGCATGCTTGTATGGACATTTGTGAATAAAAATTTTAATGTGATTTTTCAATTCACTGAAAGCTGGGATTTATGCGGATGCACCCACTGCATGGACATCTCAACAAAGTTGTACAAGACAACTGAATCAAACAGACGCCATCGTTTAGATTAATGGGCGAACGAATTGGCATTGTTGTAAGCGATAACAAATTGAAGTTCAACAGGGTGGCGCAAATATATGTATGTCATTTACTCTAGGCCACAGTTGGGCAGATCTACACACATATTTTGTAATCAATTGTGAATTTGGGTATTCTTCAAGGAAATGTTTTCTTAACAAAGTTATTTGGCTTAGTTTGGCTTAGATATCAACAGTTAATACAATGTTGGCTTATTTATTCAAACAATTTATTTAATAATTCACAATAATTCACTGAATCAATCATCTTTTTCATATGATGCCTAACGACAAAGAAACAGAATGTCTTTTCAGTCAACAGTGATATCACTTCATTCTCTTTAAAGAAAACCTCTATTCCGTTTTGCAGTACCCTGTAGTGCATTCAAGTTTGTGGAAAACATGATATCGGTGTTACACAGTGGAGGATTTCTTACAAATGACAGTTACGTTTCATACTCCACTTTGGAGAAGAGACCCTTTGAAACCAAATATGTATGAAGTGCCGGGATTCAAACCGCGAGCAATAAAAGTTAGAATGAGCTTTGTTCAAGGTGGGGCAGAAGTAAACATCCGATGTTTTGGCCGCCGCCACAGTTTATTATCATTTGAGCCCTTCCGGCGATATATCCCCACATTCTTGACGGATACTGTCTTTAAGAGTTGAAAGAGCCTGAGGCTTGTTGACAGAAAACCGCGACTTCACAAAGCCCCACAAAAAAAGTCTGGAGTAAACGGGAGATTAGGCGCACGGGAAATGCATCCTTCAGCATATCGATTGCGACACGTGCAGTGTATGCCGTTGCACCGTCCTGTTGGAACCACATGTTTTCAAATCTTAACTCATCAAGTTGCGGTAAAAATAAGTCGTTGATCATTGCTTAGTAGCGCCCATCATTCACAGTAGCTGTTTGGCCCGCGACGTCTTTGAAGAAAAAAGATCCGATGACTACTCCAGCGATAACAGTACACCTTACAGTGACTTTGAGCGGGTGTAATGACTCTTCGTGGGTTACACTCGGATTTTCGGTGCCTAGAAGCGTACATTTTGTTTATTAACGTTCTCGCTAAGATGGAAATGGGTCTCATCACTCATGATTACTTTTAATGAAAAATCATGTTCTTCTTGGTGTTGATTAAGGATGGCTTGAGCGTATGTTAGACACTACTGTTGGTCAGCAGCTAACAGCTGATCCACCATCTGGACTTAGATGAAAACATCTTCAAATCTTGTACCAAAATTCGCTGTAAACACCGTCGACTGGTACCCATTTGCGTGGCACGTCGTCTGGTCGATGTCTATGGCGCTTCCATCACATCCTCGGCTACAGGAGCAATATTCTCAGCAGAACGGATACTCCGGGGTCTGCCACAACTGGCAGCATATTTTGTTGTGCCAGTCTCTCCGAGGCGAGCGGCTAAACGTCGCACGAAATTCACGTTGTGCCAAAGTCACCGACCGATAATTGGTCAAATAAATAGTCACCAATATTCCGCGTTCTGGATCAGTGAAGCGTAACATTGTTTAATAACGCGTATTTCACATGTGTTTACTACAAAAATGTCACAATAGAACTGACATTAGGGGCCAATAGTAAAATGCATAGGTTTTTCTGATAAGAGGGTTACTTTAGCGCCACCTTGTATTAAGGTATCAACATCGAACTTACAAACAAAACAACAAGTTCCAAACAAAAAATTCCGTACAAAAAATGTGAGTTAAACTGCCGCATTTTGGAGAGTGGCGTTTAATTGGAGTTATACGAACAGGTGCCCCGATACGTAGATCAAGAATATGTACTCACCAGTGGGGATGTAAAACTTTATTATTTTGATCTCCATACTATGGTGCAACAACAGGAGAAAAAACTTCACTTCTCTGTACATCCTTAAGAATCATTGGGTAATATCTCTCTCTCTCTCTCTCTCTCTCTCGATCGTTAATTAACAAAAAATTGCACATTTTTCAAATGGGTTGGTCGTCGAATTGTTTCGAATGCCGCTTGATGAGCAAATGTACACCTTTCGACCTAATAATATTTCATATTACCATCATTGCAAAATAACTTTTCCAATTTCGCCCAGTGTGGGAAGATGCGTGCGCCAACTTCCAACAACAATTCCCCTCCAGCAATGACAACACGTTAACAATGCACGAATAAAACGTGTGGATATCTGGTCAATAAACAAGACCGATTCACGTGCTTCGCCGCATGCTATCTTTCGCCACGGTAGCCAGGGAGTTGTAATCTTAAATGGATTTACCTCAGCGATGGAGTTGGGGCAATTCGAATCATAGCGATCGTCAAACATTTAAAGAAATATTACAAACAACACCAACAACAAGAAAAGGCGCATGGACAGTTCAAAGAAGCCAAAATTAAAACGGTAACTGCAGTACCACAATTTGACAACGCCAGGCAGGAAGACAGACATCAACTCCGTTCCATCTCGGAGATGGTAGCTTTCGAATGCTGTGGCAGGCAGATTGGCCCATGCCGCCACAAATATTTGCAGTAAAAGTAAACCGGATGACCTTCTCGAAATATGCTTTGAACTTCATGTAACGGCAGTTGAACATGGTTCTGTGTTCTGGCTCTTCGATTTTTTCCTCCCGCTCAAGACCAAGCGTATGTGTATGTCACTGAAGTTCATTTGGTGGCTTTTTGACGGCCAAATTACAGGATAGCCCAGTATAAAAGCAAGAACAGTTGTGCCATCATAGCACAAATCCATTCCAGTGTTCTCTGAAGCGAGTACTAGTCTTGAAAATTAATTCCTGAAAAGAAGGAGCTAGCAGCGCTTTTACACAAACGGAAATATAAATAAACTTTGTCACCCGACACTATGAACGCCCTGATTATCCTCACGTTGACATTGGCTGCAGCTCAGGCCAAAAGCTATGTTTATCCTGTGCCCTCAACACGCCTGCAAACGCCAATGATGTTAACAAAACGTATTTTACCCCAACAGCAGCAGGACAAACAAACAAAAGTCCAACAATATTTCACCCAGGACTCTTTGGGGCAATACTCCTATGGGTATTCCGAGCCGTTGTCCACAAAGCAGGAGGTACGTACTGTGGATGGTGTTACAAGAGGTTCCTATGCATATATCGATGCCCTTGGCCTACTGCAAACGGTGGACTACATTGCCGATGAAAACGGATTTCATGTGGCGGCCACTAACTTGCCCATGAATAATCAGGACGTAGTTACGGATACACCCGAAGTGGCATTGGCAAGAAAACAGCATTTGGAAGCTCACCAAGCAGTGCTCAATGGTGATCTAACGTCCTCCTCGATACTCCCTAAGCCTGTGAAGGATACAGTGGAAGTTGAAGCTGCCAAGAGGGATTTCTTTGCCCGTTTTGCCCTAGAGGAGGAGAAGCATAAACTACTGCGCCAAACAAACCTGTTGAAGGGACATAACCTTCTCCCCCTGAGCAGTGCTGTGTCTAATGTTCGTTCAACCACCATCCCCATCATTTTGGCTGACCCAAGTCCAAAGCGTCAACAAGAATTTGTCCATCTACCTCAACGTTACTATTTACCGGCCATTTAATGCAAAAGTTTGCCATACCACGCCACCCCCTTCCATTTATTGTTATTTTTTATGGTCATGAATAAAATGTAAAAAAAAACTGCCTCAATACCTTTCAATCACTACATCTACCATCCGAATAATGCTGATCTTGAATTTTAAGAAAGTTCCTATCATTCTATTCCGCGATTATGTTCTGTGTTGGGCCATGATTTTAAAAGACTGTGAAATCAAATCGATTGTTTACATAATAACCAGAAATAAAACGTTTACATTCGGACATAACCTCAATGCGGGGAGAGAAGTTGAAGCTGCCAAATTTTTGTTGGATCGACTCTGTTGATAAAGCTTATCTAGCGCTTATACAAGACAAGTACTGTCTTGAATCACATTGATATTGTTGTATTTTTGACATTACGGGAAAATGAAAAAAAAAAAAAAAAAAACAGGTAAGCAAAGGCTATAGTCGTGCGGGGCCGACCATGTACGCTACAACACTGCAATATGTTCGAAGTCCCCTTATATCCAAATCCGTTTTGGAAGATTTCGTTTTTGAAATAATGTCAAAGAGCCCCGCCCAGAGGTTACCCTTAGTTTTTTTGGCACGGAGAATTTGGCAAAAGTTGTGAAAGTTGTGGTACATTTTACATCTAAATGTAATTCAATGGTCATCCAAGACTAGACTTCTTCCCTGTCCTTAACTCTTTTCCGATCCGAAATTCTGTGTCGATTAGTTTCAATTGTGGCTTATAAGTCGACTACAAAATTAGAAAAAAATAAATTTTTTTAGTCCATTTGCACCTCTAAATGTACATCTTAAGAACAATAAGCTTTAATTCTGACCCTACCCCAATGAAAAATTTCGTGAAGATCGGACGATAATTGCGACATGCATATAATACCCTCAAAACGTAGTGTTGAAGAGTGTAAACATTTAGAAAATTTACAATTCAAAATTGGAGGTCAAATTGAAAAAATCGCATGCGATAAAAAATATGGCAACAATTGAAAAAAATGGAACAAAAATATTCAGTTCTTTATTGGTATATTTTTTCGCGATTTTCTTAAATTTTCTGCTTTTCTGGAAAAAGACCATACCGAATTGATGGGAATTGTGAAGATCGGCCCAGCGGTTCTTGATTTATAAGCATAATAAATAAGATCAATTCTTTTACGTATATATTGTACCTATTTTGCTATATATCCGATTTCTTGGCTATTAGTATCACTGTAATAGTCAGAAGTGATCTTTTAATGTATTTGTGATTTGGATGGGGTTGTAAATATTCACAATTTTTCCTTTTTTGGTCTATTTCAACACCTAAATATCGTGCGATTATCTCCAAAAACAATAGGGTTCTATTCTGACCATAACTCCATTTCCAATTTCGTGAGGATCGGTTCATAATTGCGACCTGTAGCTTGATTACAAATTAACATGGACAGACGGTCAAACGGACGAACATACATAGCTAGATCGACTCATCTCGGCGAGATAGGAAGATCCATATATACTTTCCTATGTGGGAAACCAATATTTCGAGGTGTTACATAATTTTTGGCCCAATCAAACTTATAATACCCCCAACACATAGTGTTGTATGGTATAAATACAATGGAATATTGCTAAAAAAAAACAACGGAACAGAAAAAACAAACGAATAATTGAGAGAAAAATATACAAAAAATATAGGTTTTTTTATTGAAGATGGTGCAATTGTCGGGATGCCTACGTCACAAAGACAATTTGTAAATGTAACAAAAATATACGCTTACGTTAAAAATCTGTGAAAACAAGTAGAAAAGTATCAGTCGGTTTTGCCGACAGATGTAAACGCCCAATCTTGAGCTATGATCATTCAAACTGTTGACCCTTTATGGGGGAGGTTCCGAAGCAATATCTGACCTATGACTGATATAAGACCGAAGTATTCCATTTTCATACTTCATCAAATACAGATAAAAATATTGGTGTGTGCAAAATTTGAAGGAATATATGCATATTCATATCAGACAAACCTTGTGTTAGCAAAAATGTTTGTATGTGTGAAATTTGAAGAGAGTTGGATACTTATTTCGTTTTTTATAAGTGCACCGATATATCTCATCTTCACAGCAAATCTTGTGTTAGTAGAAATAATGGGATGTGTGAAATATGAAGAGAACTGGATGCTTATTTCGGATGCAATAATCGTTTTGTTTATTCGAAACTTTGACCCTTTGTGGGGGAGGTACCAGAAGGAATGGTCCGATCTCTATCATCTTTATAACAGATCTTGTGTTGATAGAAATATTAAGATTTGTCAAGTCTGAATGGAATCGGGTGATAATGTCGCGTTATTTGAGCTCCATGGTTATTCAAAATTTTGACCCTTTGTGGGGGAGATACCAGAAGGAGTGTACCGATATATTCCATCTTCACAACAGACCCTGGGTTAGTAAAAATATTGTGATATTTGTAATTTGAAGACAATTGGACTCTTACATCATATTTTATAAGGGTTGTAATTATTCAAATTTTTGACCCTTTGTGGGGAGGTACTTGATGGAGTGGACCCATATTGTTTATTTTCGCAACTGACCTAGAACTAATGCATATATTAAGATTTGCAAAGTTGGAGCAAAATCGGATCATCCTTTCTCCCTCTGTGTAATAAAATATTTTCTTTCGTTTTGTGGGGGAGGTACCAGAAGGCGTGGACAGATATTGCCCATCTCCGAAATCGATCTATGTTTGATAATAATTTTGCGATGTACCAAGTTTGGACTCTCTTCGAGAGTTATCGTGCGTACCAGCCAGACGGACGGACATCGCTAGATCGACTTCAAATGTCCTGAAACGGATTTGGTCTAAAAACCGTCTAAAACCGTTATTTGTATGAGGCACATTTTGGCCGTATCAAATGATATATACACTCTCTAGCCATGTGGCTGTGGATATAATTATATAGAACAAATATATATTCTTGATCAGCATAAAATTCTATGTCGATTTAGAAATTTCCGTCCGTCTGTGGAAACCACTCTAGCTTCCAAACGAAATAAAGTAGATTGATGAAATTTTACTCAAATATGTATTATGGCTGCAAGACTTTTGGTATTGAAAATGGGTCATGTAGGTTCACGTTTTTGTATAGCCCCCAACAGTACCTCCCGATATTTGGTATATTGATGATTTTAGCGTCATTATACACCGGAATTGTTTCAAATTTAGTGTTTAAAGTTCGTAATGGATACTACCGCCTAAGACAAAAGATTGTCTGTGCAGGTTCACGTCTTCCTATAACCCCAATATAACGGTACCTCCCTATATTCGGTATTTTGATGATTTTAGCTACCTTTTCCGTCGTTTTTTTTATTCAAGTTTCGCATTTGAGTATTTTAATGGCTTATGGCAAAAGTTGCCTATGCACGTCCACGTCGTCGTATAGACGCTAATATGACGGCTATATTCGGTATTTTTAAGATTTTAACAGAATTTTAACGGTTTTTATTTTTTGAAAATTGCCAAAATCGATCCAAATTGTGGAAGGTATTCAAAGGTCGGCCCGGCCGAACTTACAGCTTTTTTACTTGTTTTAATTATTAATTTGGCAACATCTCATTTTCGAAATGTATTAATATCCATCTATATCTATAAAAGAGGAAAATGTTTGTATGTTTGTTTGTTTGTTTGTTTGTAATTTATGGACTCGAAAACCGCTGAATAGATTTTCCTGCAAAATTTCCATATATACTGCAACATCGCCTGAAAGTAACATAGGCTATATACATTTTTGAATTTCCACTTGGAACTGGAGATATAGCATCAGAATCGGAGGTACCTCCCAAAAATTTAGATTTTATATGCACATATCTATTGATTGGTTGAAGATACAGTCTCCAAATTTGGAATACGTAACGGAATTTGGAACAAAAATAAGTTTGCCAAATTATATTGTAATCGGTTCAGATTTGGATATAGCTCCCATATATATTTTCGACCGATTTCGTTCATTTGATGCCTCAAACACAATATGAATGTTCGATTCCAATGAAATTTGGAATGTGTGACGGGATTTAATCCGAAAATAAATTTGTCAAATTATATTGAAATCGCTTCAGATTTGGATATAGCTCCCATATATATTTTCGGCCGATTTCAAGCATTTGATGCACCAAACACGCTATGTATCCCCAATTTCAATGAAATTTGAAACGTGTGATAGATTTTATCTAAAAAATTGATTTCCCAAATTATATTGAAATCGGTTCAGTTTTGGATATAGCTCCCATATACATTTTCGGCCGATTTCATGTATTTGGTGGACCAAACACGACATGTATTTCCAATTGTAATGAAATTTAAAATAAGTAACGGAATTGGGAGCCAAAATGAATTTGTCAAATTAAATTGAAATCGGTTCAGATTTGGATATAGCTCCCATATATATTTTCGACCGATTTCATGTATTTTATGCACCATACACGATATGTATGTTCGATTCCAAAGAAATTTGGAATATGTAACGGGATTTTGACTAGAAAATAAATTAGTCAAATTATATTAAAATCGGTTCAGATTTGGATATAGCTCCCATATATATTTTCCGCCGATTTCACATATTTGATGCACAAAACACGATACGTATTTCCGATTCCAACGAAATTCGGCATGAGTGGCTAAATTTGGTACAAAAATAAATTTGACAAATTATATTCAAATACGCTCAGATGTGATTATAGCTCCCATATATATACTCAGCCGATTTCACATATTTGATGCACCCAAAGCGAGAGGGACAAAATCTGTCACCAGCAAAAATTGCCAAATTATATTGAAATCAGTTGAGGTTTGGGTATAGCTAACATATATATTTTGGCCGATTTCATACATGTTATGCACCAAACACGATATATATGACCGATTCCAATGAAATTCAGAATGTGTGGCGAAATTTGGTTATAATAACAAATGTGATAAATTAATTGGAAATTAGTTAAGATTTGGATATAGCTCCCATATATATATATTGTCGGCCGATTTCACATATTTGACGCACCAATTTCAATGAAATATGAAAGGTGTGGCGGAGTTTGGTGTAAAAGTATTTTTTTTTAAATTATATTTAAATCGGATCAGATTGGGATATGATTTTAATAAGAACCTTAGGCTAACACTAAAAAACAACACAACAATTTATTTGAAATATGCTTATTACGGCGAAGTATGTTGCTATCGCGAATTCACTAATTGCAATAGAAATGCCACTCTACTTAAAAAAATTACAGTTTCCTGCACGCTTGGTATTTGCTATGAAATAAATAAATCCAAGGGACAAACCCTTCGTGTAATCATGTCATGTTACTGCTTTTGTAATGATTTCGTTTATTAACGCATTAAAATAGTGCAATATTTTTTTTTAATTTTTAAATTTGTTTTTCTTTATCCAACATATATTCGTAAATAAAATTTTGAATGCATATAAAATCAAAAGGGGTAGCGAAGCGCACCGGGTTCAGCTAGTTGTATATAAAGACAAATCAGAGATGGCAACCTGTTCTCTCAGCAATGGAATTTTTACAAGGCAAATTACAGAAAATGCAGAGATGGCTACGATTATTTGAAGTGACCCCCACCCCACCCCCCCTTGAAATACTAGCATGATCCACCCACCAAGAAAAACAAATTTTGCACGGTTTTATTTGGAAAATGTATTTTATTTTCGTTGCCGTTTTCCTTTGCAGTTTTGGTTGAGTGTCTTTTTTTAGTTTGTTTATTGACGTTGACAGAATTTTGGAAACTATGAAATTGGACTACAATCAGTTTAGGTGTACTTTTGGCTTGCTTGGCTTTCGTTCGATATACATACATACATACATAGACAGGGTAGGAATAAGCTTAGAACGACTTCAAACGTTGAGTTATGTAGGTGGTACTTTTGGCCAAAGGCAAATGGCCGTTTCCAGCACCCACCCGAATTGACTCGATGCGAGGCAGGGTTGTCAGGACCGTGGGTATTTCGACGGTGTAGTGGGCATTGGGATTGTCTACGGTGTAGAAGGAGTTTTCTTGAGAATTATGTGAGATTGAAGAGTCGTCTTGTCTTATGTTGCCGTTGCTCAAGCCAATGCTGCTGGTGCCGCTGAGATCGTTTCCATTGCCGTTTCCGCTGCCAACCTTTAGCACAACATTCGAATCGCCATTGTCCATGCTGTAAATGGTTCTCAATTCCGAGAGAGCAGGTTGACCGCCGATACTAGCCTGTGCCACGGCCTGGCCAGGACCATGGGCTCTGGCCTCAGCACTAGCACTCAGAATGTAGGTGGTCATCAGTTGTTGTGACTGTTGATCTTCTCTGGCACGTTGTTCCTCGTGCTCTCTCAACAGATTCAATAGCTGATCTCGAGAGTTTTGTCGACTCAAAAGCAGATCTCTGGTATTCTGTTGTAGTTCGGCACTCGTGTCGCTCTCGGCCGAGGTTCGTTTAAGCTCATTTTCGTCCATCTGTTCGTCCGTGTCCGGTTCCATTGCCGCCTTAATGGCTGCTTCGCGGTACGCTTCGAAATGTGCCTGTTTGGCCATTTCAACTTCGGGTGTGTCGGTGACTGGCTCTGGAGGGCGGTTATTATCCACCGGCTGGCTGGGTAGATTAGTGGCCGAAGCGGTAAATCCCTGTTTGCGACCAGCCTCATACTTCACCGTCTGCAACTTTCCATCCGAGTCAATGTACGAATAAAATCCCTTGGAAGAACCATCACGTGTTTTGTACTCTGCCTTGGCTGATTCTTCGCCACTATAACCGAACGAATAAAATCCTTTAGAGTCCTGTTCTCTGTACTCCGTTGTTGGAATTTCAGGTTTTACCACCACCAAGTGATGGGTGCGGGATGCGGCCGCCACAGACAATAAGGCGCACAACAAGATTAATTTCATTTTGATGAAACGCGTCTACTCGCTTGGTATCCGATAGGTTGAAGGTGTGGAACACTTCTAATGCCAAAGTGTCGCAGTGATTACAATTTATAGCCAACATTAGGCTACACCCTTCCAAAATATGTAATCCGCATTTGTTTTTTACACATTTCAAGTGGATCCAATGACCAGAATTTCGCCCCCACCTCCCTTCTGGCGATCGAGATTTAAAAGTCTTCTTTGTTGACCTAGAAACTGGCGCCCCAACCCGAACGGAAGATATGTAGACGACTATGGCTTACGCTTGTAATGGATATCGTCGTGAAGAGTGGTGGCGTTGCAACCGATGTGGCATCAACATGAAATGGCCCAAAAAGACACACCACAGTTGTCAGTTGTTGCACCCCACAACGTCAGTAGCACCAGCAGTTACAGGCTGCAGTACAACACCAACTGTTGCAACCCGTCTGCTGCAGTTTGACTAACAAAAATATATTTCACAAGCCGGATCAAATTTCCCTTTGCGATTGTAGTTCAAAACGCGATACCCAAATCTCAAACTGACAGTTCGTTGGGCAAGCATCAACATTTCTGTTGGGGTGCAACATGTGTGTTAAGGTTGACTGTGCGACCAAAGATGCGTTGATGAGGTTTATTTTGAAGCTGTGGAATAGCTCTTGTTGTTGTCTTCGGTGTATCTAAAACCTAGAAACAACATTATTAGTAGAAGATATTTTGACAAACAAAGAGGAAGACAAAAATCCTCGGCTATTATTTAAAAAAAAGGTACAAAACTAATTGGGAATTTCTATCCGTCTTTGGAAATCACTCGAGATTCCGAACGGATTAAAGAACGTGGGGACAATTTTGCACATATATTTTTTTAAGTCCATAGAATCTAAAGCATTTCAAATGTGCCCTGAGGGTCCAAATTCAAGAATAGCTTCCACAGAACGTTGGTGAAGAACAACAATTTGACATTTCGCTTCCATAATAGATTAAATGTCTCTTCGCTTTCTCTCGATTTGGGTTCTCACGAGACAGACGCTTTCTCTTTTTCAAAACGAAGTGGTTGCAATTAGGCATCTTGAGTTCTCATAAAACGAAAATTTCAAATGGGCGACATAGAGCTATGCTAAATTTAAAGAAATTTCGACATTGAGTCCACACCTTACGAGTGGTAACCTGTTTTGAGGAAGTGCCAATAGGAGTGGTCGTAAGCCTAATATAAATATAATGTGACAAGTTTGGACAATATCAGATACTTCCCTTGGCTTATATGAGAGTTATGGATCACGTTATCGCCATGGCCGATTTACCCAACTGACCAATGTCTAACATAAATATCACGATGTGCAAATCGGATGCTCTCTTCGGTTTCTAAGATATATTTATATTTTTGGCGTTTTTTTTATTTATGTTTTAACAGTTTGTTATTTATTTCACCCTTCAAGCGAACATTCTAATTCAATTTCATTGCCGATCCCCATATTTCCGGAAATGTAATCTGTTCTATTTTTCCGTCGTTTAGGACCCACGTTGAACCGTTGGCAGCCGTCTTCAGAACTTCCATTAGATTTTCGGCAAGTGCTGTGGCGCTTTGAGGCTTCATCGATTTGAGAACATTTGAAAATTGAGGAAAATGTTTGATTCCTATCATTTGGGAGAATGCTTGTTGAAACATCGGCGTTGCTGTTCCTCCGGGGCAAATTGTTATAAAACTGACACCAGTTTTGTTGAAATAAATGGGTTTCTAAAAATCAAAAGATCGCTTAATTTAACTTGATGCTTTGACGTCACCCGAAATCTTACCGCCAGAGTCCTGGTGAAATAAAGAACGGCACTCTTCGTTGCACCATAGATGCAACAAATTTCGGTTGGGTTCAAACCTGCTATCGATGATATATTAACAATGCAACCTCCTCGTCCTCCATTGGCCCTGCTCATGTGCTCCAAGGCAATCAGGCTGCTGTGTATAAGACCTGTCTGAATATATTTTCCAAAAAGTCGAAAGAGATTAGTTTTCAACTCCCTTTTGTTTAGTTTTGTTTTTCCAAATGACTTACTAAATTAATTTGAACTATTTGATCGACTTTTTCCTCATCCACAATACCAGCGCCATTTACCACCACGTCAAACACACTTATCATGGCCTTAGCTTTCTGAAAAGCTTCGCGTATTTCATTACAGTTGGTAATGTTTAAGGGTATATAATCGACGTAGGATAGTTTATACGAATTTTGCAAATGTTTTAGTAACTCGTCATTGCAATGCAAATCCAAAATCAAAAGACTTTTCACACCGTTCTTCAGAAAAGCCTCAACACACTTCTCTCCAATACCTCCAAATCCACCGATATAGATCACATTTTTTCCGTTTAAGTCCATAACGCCAAAGATTCGGATAATTTTCTGATGTAGCTGAAGTGGTCGACAGAGACTTTCAAAGTAAGTGCAGTTCTCTAATCGCCAAAAATGCTGTTCGCCTACTTCACCCAACTTGAATTAAAAACGAACTCGTAGACAATGTGAAATCCAGTTCCTACGTTTGTTAACACTTAGTATATGGAATTTTGAAGAAGATATCTGGTATTTGTATTAATTTAATCGCTGACTTTGATAGACAAACACACCTGTTCTATTGTTTTATTCACAAATAACGTTTTTTAGTCTTTGGCTACCAACGTATACCGCGCAGCCTACCAACCATATAAGAGATGCTTTCTTACAAAAACACATTTATGTAGAAGAGCTATCGTAAGGTAGTATCTTACCTGTAGCAAGTTCCAGGAAGTATATTTCAACAAAAAAAAGTGAAAAAGTAGTAAATTCGGCCGGGCCGAACTTTGAATACCCTCCACCAAATGAAACGAAATTGGAAATTATCAAAAAAAAAAAAAAAGAAATCCGTTAACAATTCTGTGAAAATCTTAAGAACGCAGAATATTGGGAGTTACCGTTTTATTGGGGTCCATACGAAAACGTGATATTATTCAAATAAGAAATTTTAAATCATTCCATTGAATAATGTCATTATTTCATCAAAATACCGAATATAGGGAGGTAACGTTATATGGGGGCTATTCGAAGACGTGGATCTGCATATACAATTTTCCATCATAACTTGTACTACCCATTACGAACTGCAAATACGATATTTAAAAAAAAAATATCGGGGCTATATGAAGAGGTTTTCTGTCACAGATTGTAGTACCCATTACGAAGTGTAAGTACGAATTTTGAAACAAATCTGGTGAATAATGTAGCTAAAATCATCAAAATACCGAATATAGGGAGGTATGGGGGCTGGACCTGAACAGGCAATATTCTGTCACAGATTGTAGTACCCATTACTTAGTGCAAATACGAAATTTGAAACCATTGCGGTGAATAATGTCGCTGAAAACAGCAAAATGCCGAATAGAAGAAAGCACTGTTTTATGGGAGCTATACCTAAACGCGGACCTATAGAGCTTATTTTCAATACCAAAAGTCCTGCACATCAAACACACATCTGAGTAAAATTTTATCAGCCTACTTCAATTCGTTCGGAAGCTAGTGTAATTTACACAGATGGACACACGGACGGACGGACAGACCCACGGACACTGCTAAATCGACATAGTATTTTATGCTGATCAAGATTATATATACTTTGTGGGATCTAAAATGTATATTTCGAGGGGTTACAAACGGTATGACAAACTTAATGTACCCTCCATACTATGATGGAGGGTATAAAAAGTATAACCCCCCAAAATTTACTCCATAATCTCATAGCTCATGTTTTTAATCTTAATATCTTAATATCCAGATTTCGAAATAAAAATTATTGTTTGGTAACTGGCCCCCAAAATGAATTCGAAATGCATTTTCGACTACGTCCTGCCCAAATTAATTAGTCTTTGTAGTAACATTTTTCAATTGAATGAGCAAGATTTGTATTTTAGTTCGTCAGATGTGGAAAAAATATTCAGTATTTTCCACTATATGCCCCTTTTTCGAGGACGAAAAAGAACTAAAAATGTACCAAAACTTGCTGACTACTCTTCAAAATCAACTTATTGTCCAGCCAGAGGTTGACCGCCATGTCACGGTTTTTACTCGACCAAAAGTACTTAAAGAGGGCGGTTTTTTATGTTTTTTTAATCCTCTGCAAGTTTTACCTTTTTTATTAATTTATCTATTTTTTTATTTATTTATTATTATTTTTTTTTTTTTTGATTTGAACAAAATGCCATTATTTAATTTTGTGATTTATATCTCAGCGCTGGACCCCATATTTGTGGCAAGTGCACTTCGTCAATTTTACCATCATCCAATACCCAAGTTGAGCCGTTCGAAGCTGTCTCTATGACTTTCATTAGATTTTCGGCAAATACGGCAGGAGTTTGGTGCACTGCCGAATCCAAAATGCTGTCAAGGTTGGGAAGGTATTTCCCCGAAATGCACTTGGTTGTGACATCCTTCAGAATCGGTGTTAATGTTACGCCTGGACAGATGGTAATACAACTAACGCCAGTCTTATCGAAATAAATGGGTTTCTAAAATTATATACAATTGTAAATCCATACACACACATCCTCTGAAGATATATAAAGACCGGTACATCTTACCGCCAGAGAATTGGTGAAATGTATTACGCCACTCTTTGTCGCTCCATAAACACAACATAGGTCAATGGGATTTAGACCTGTTGTGGACGAAATGTTTACAATGCAGCCACCATGACCACCATTCGCCTTACTCATGTAGTCCATGGCTATCAGAGAGCTATGCATGAGACCAGCCTACACGAAAAAGTAAGTTTAGTTAGTTATCAGTCATCGTTTTCAAATTGAAATTAATCCAAATACCAAATTAATTTGCACCAATTGGTCAATGTTGTTTTCGTTTGCAACGCCCGAACCATTCACCACCACATCGATGTTATCAATCAGCTGTTTAGCCCTCTGAAAGGCGTCTTTTATGCTCTCGCTCTTCCTCAAGTCCAGAGCGATGTAATCGACGAATGATTTTTTATAGGTGTTTTGTAAATAGCCCAGATACTCATCGTTCGACTGCAAGTCGAAGATGAGCAGACTTTTTACGGACTTTTTCAAAAAAGCCTCAACACACTTTTCGCCTATACCTCCGTATCCGCCAATGTAGATAACATTCTTGCCAGCCAGTTCCATTCCGATTGGATTTATATTAATTTCACTCACTTTATGTTGAAGCGCCTACTTCGGATGACGATTTGAAAATGAATAACAAAAGACCGACTGCTTTCACTTAAATATTTCATGAGAACGTGTATTTCGTCGGTTAATATAGAAATGCCCTAACTGATATTTTCTTTTATTGGGCCGAAGAGGGAAATACACCTTGTATTCTTCATTCATAAAAAGGAAGCAGACTAATTTTATGCTGCTGTGATCTTTGTTACTTTTGCTCGAATTTAATTAAATTTTGTAGAATTTTTGTATCAGAAGGTTTTCGTTTAAAACTTAAAACAAGATCTCGAAAAAGAAAGACTTACGCCGTTTTTACATTTAACTAACGATATGTGCAGACATCAAGAATTTGTTATCGCCCATTTAAGCTTATTTTTTTTAAGTTCCATCGACAGATTTAGTGCAGTCTACTGATCTTATGATGATATTAAAACGTTGACCCCATCTTAACATTTGGTTTGGCGTCGGATTAAGACAAACAAACTACCTTGTGACAATCTAAGATAATTTCTTTTGCAAGTCGTCAGGGGTTGCCTTTGATTTTAAGGTTTCATTTTTGTAGCATATATGTATCTAATTTTGATATGAGCCAATACAGATAAAGATGCTGTGTTGGTAACAAAACAAGAATGGGATTTTATTCTGCATTCAAAATTTACAAATCTGCTCGTGCAAACAACAAGCGACCTCTCTTTCTTATCTGCAATTGTTTTGGGACTTTTCACTTATCAAATGTTTGTCCGTCATAAAAAAACAAAAGAAAACAAATTTGAAAATGTTTTTTTATTGAAGTATTTTTGTTGAGAAATCCGATCAAAATATTTTTTTCAGAATTATAATCTACATAGTATGTATTGGGGATATTTTAAATTTGGTTGGACCAAGTGGGTTGTAAAGCCTCGAAATATTGATTCTCGACCGACCTAAATTAGCCATGTGTGTGGGTTTGTCCTGTTAATTTGTAATTACGCTACAGGCCGCAATTACGGTCCGATCCTCACGAAATTTGGATGGAGTTGAGGTTAGGGTCAAAATAGAACATATGGTTGGGGGTGATTATCACAAAACATTTGGGGATGAAAAAGATCAAATCTATAGATCACAGTTAAAGACCAATCGAAAAGTAAGTTTACCATTTTGGATGTTCATTGGTTAATATTTAGTGAGAATTTTTTATTTTTTGTAACTTCTTAATAAGAATATCCCATATTTAGAATGATATTTTAAGCAGTCTACAGAAACTTTACCGTAAATTATATTGTTGTAGGAAATAGATAAAATCCGATATCTGTAGTGGGATTTTTTAACACATTTTTTGAGTTACCGAAAAAAGTCGGTATAATTATAATGCTTATAATTTCGGTAATTAACGAAATTTGTTGGTAAGTTAACAAATTGTCGATAGATACCAATGTTGTCAACTTTAACTTATTTTTTATATCAAAATTTTGGGTTTCAAAGTTACCGGTTTTTGTCAAAAAATTGAGTTAGAAAATTCTACTACTGGAATAAGAAAGAAGATAAGTTCAGACGAAAACAAGTTAGAAAGTTTTAGTCGGTGTTCCGAAAGATATATACTTTCCGTTGTTGTTTGGGGACATACCATAAAGTTGGACCAACAATATATATATAAAGAGAACTGGAGAAGAATTCCAAGGGAGTTATGATGGTTTGGTCTATATCACGTACTCTATTAGTCTCCATCTTAGCGTGGAGGTGCCAGAAAGGGTGCGACGAATTAATCCATTTCCACGCCCGCTTTAGCATAAAGCAGAATATTGTTATGTACAAAACATAAAGAAAATCGCTAAAAAGATGTGCCAAGTTTGAATCTATTTTTGAATGTACCCGATGTAGTATTCCTGAAAACATTTCTTCAACTCTTGTGGAGGAGTTACCCGAAAGGGTAGAGTAATAACATTAATGCCATGACAATACAATTACTACTGAAATAATCCAATCTCTATTTCAATATTTGTTCAATTATTGTCTCAATCAAATTCACATAACCGAAAGTGTCAATGGCCATTTTGTTCGAATTATTCAAGAATATCCAAGTTTAATAAAAATGATTTGATTTATATAAATTATTCAAATTTTTTTTCATACGAAAAAATACGAAAAATCTATTTTAATTATTTAAACATTCATTGCTGGCCGCCACAAAACTTCCAAGTGCATTTCCTTAATTTGGCCCAAGTCCAACATCCACACCGATCCGTTTTTGGCTACCTCCAAAACATTTATTAAATTTTCAGCACATTTTTCTGGACTCTGTCGTATGGCAAGAGTAAAACGCTCGGCCATGGGTGCCGAATATTCGGTTAGGGTCTCTTTGCCTCTTATCGACTCTAAAAGTGCCGTGTCTGTAAAGCCCGGACAAATTGTCACAAAACTAACGCCAGTATTGGCAAAATATAGCGGATTCTGAAAATAACAATCAAATAGACATTCATAGGTATGTGCATGGTATGTGTGTGCGTGTAAATAAATATGTACATATGTATGGCAAAAGTGGTTCCAACTTACCGCTATTGCCCGTGTAAAAGCCGTCAAACCACATTTTGATGCCGAGTAAATGGCAAACATACCACTTGGCTCTAGACCAGCTACCGATGAAATATTGACAATCATTCCGCCGTTGCCGCCCTTCGATTTGTCCATGTGTTCCAAGGCTATCAAAGAACTATGAATTACCCCAGTCTAAAGTGGAAAATGTTTAAAATTAGAGGGCAGCACTGTTTACATAGGGGCGATACGGTCTGGAACTCACAACGTATTCGATACACATACACTTCACCTCTCATCACAATGGTATTTCAATTATTCGCGTGTATGGTAGAAGGATGCAGGTAGAAGCATCAAAGCATAGAAACATTGAAATGTCAAAAGTTGTTAAATTTAAAAATAAGTAGATTTATATAAGTTTTCCTACACGACACCAATCGGAGGTTGTTATGATATGCATTTTTTTAACAATGTTTACAAATTTAAATAGTTTTTATTCAAAAATTTCAATTCCAAAATTGGTTTGACAGTTCATTGTCCCAACATTGCTGTGTCGATGCGACCCTGTGTTCTTCTACCATTATTTCTGAGTGCAGAAATTTACGGACATTTAATAAAATGTATAGAAATCCAGAATATACTCGAAATTTTTAATGTATCTGACGCACACACGAAATTTGTGTAATATACGTCCGAGAAACGCCATGAGTGTTCTGGAACAGGTTCGTGTCCGCTACAATGTCCGCTTTCTTCTTCGTTTTAAAAATATAAAAAACCAAAAAAAACAGTCTGGAGTTTCCTTGAGTGATCCAATCAAAAAGGAATCAGTCATGAATAAACCACCGCACCAAATCAAGAGATGCAAAGTATACTTCATCCTAGCCGTAAAGATGTACAGGCACCCATGATTCAACAACTTTTATTAAACATCTTGCATTTCAAATACTTGTAATCGCGGGACAAATACATGTGAAATAATTAAATTATGTGTAAACGCCCAAAACCTATTCCATCATGTGGCCACATGTTGGATAGGTATTTTCATAAGCTTTCATAAGCAACGATACCTATATTGTCTAAATCGGGTAATTAGACCCGGGTCTAATCGGATTCTTGATCCCGGTCTTTCGGGTCAAAAATAATGGGTCCCAGGTCCGTTCCCCAAGAAAAAAATAGTTTCCTGAGATCAGGGTAAAAATAAGTAAATTTCGAAAAAATATAAGAGTTTTTACTAAGCTAGAGTTAAGCCCAATCAAAATATGTCTCATCGCAAAAACGAAATTCGTTTTGGGACATTTGGAATCGATCTTGTGATATTCGTCCATCTGCTTTGTCCTTGATTTTTGCTGTATTTTTACAACCCTCAACTTGTGTTCTTTCCCAGTCATTTTTTAAACTATTATAACACGGAAATACCGTTAAATGTGATCTTACCAAATTGATAGCCATTGTCAGATCTATAAAACGGTCGTTCATCAAGCCACAGCCGTTGACGACCACATCAAGTCTTTTCAGGGTGTCAGCTGCCAATTGAAAGGCTTTTTCAATTGTTGGACGCTTGGTGACATCAATTGGTATGTAGGTTATTTGAGTTTCTTGAAATTGCCTGGCAAGATTCGTGCGGAATTCCTGGTTATCACAAAGGTCACAGATCACCAAATGCTGTGTGGAAAACGAAGCCAATTTACTCAGGCCTTTAAAGCAAAGGAGAAATATATGTTTGTACCTTGATTTCCCTTCGCAGAAAAGATTGCAAACATTTTTGGCCAATGCCTCCGTATCCACCGATGTAGACCACATTTTTACCTTTTAACTCCATTTGCGGTCAAGTGATGCGATGTTTGCCACTTGAATGCGATATCGACTCGAAGAGAATCCAGACAGATATAAGTTGTCGTTGATTACCGCCACCAATTACAGACGGCTGGCTGGGTTAGTAGCGAATGATATTGACCGAAACCTATCGAACACGATCCTATGTCTGGTGTGGTTGAGCTACAAGTGCACAGTGCACTTTTCATTGGCCCATCGATTTTCGGTTTCTTGGCCGCAATCATAGTCTAACGCAATGACAGACAGTAGTTAGTTGTACATACATATGTTTATATAATGTATGGGTATATTTTTGATAGCAACATGTATTTCGATATTGTTTTGAGTTTTTGGTTGCACTCTTAGTTTGGCATTAGCGGGTAAATGAATACCGGTTTGAGGTTTGTAGCCAGACATTTGAGAATTGTGAGTGCGGTTATAATTTGGCTTTGCGTTTCAGTTTCTGCTACAGACATTCTTAAAAAGGAACACACACACGCACCAAATGTAAGTTCAAAACTAATAATGCTTACAAATTTCCAAGACGCTTAAATAGCAACCTACGAACGAAATTTTGCCAGATTTCGTTGTTTGTTCTGGTTGGGAAATAAACAACGTTCATTACGGAAATTCTACATACACTAAGTCTGTTTGATGTAAACATTTCAACATCATATATCTTAGTTGGACGAAGTTAAGTGAGAACCCACAATGTCAAATTACAGTCAGTTGACTACAAATTTGGGCCTAAACTCTGAAAATTCCAAACATAGGAGGTATTTTCTTTTTTTACCCCTCAGCCATATGGCCAGAGAGGCTATATGTCATTTGATATGGTCAAAACGTGCCTAGTCGAAACAACTGTTTTAGACCCTATGTCTCTATTCTCTCGTTTCAGAACATTTGGAGTCGATCTAGCGATGTTCGTCCTTCTGCCCGTCTGTCTGGCTGACTGGTGCGCACGATAACTCTTGAAGGGAGTATCCGATTTGGTCCATTTTTGTCAAACTTAGATCGAGTTCGGAGATGAGCAATATCGGTTCACTCCTTCTGGTACCTCCCTCACAAAAGGCCGAAATTTTCAAAAAAAAAAAAAAAACATATTTTCTGGACAGAAAGAGAAACGTTAAACCAATTTTACCCCAACTTTGCAAATCCTAATATTTGCGTCAGTGCTAGGTCAGGTGCGAAAATGGACAATACAGTAGACCCACTCTATGAAGTACCTCCCCCACAAAGGGTAAATATTTTGAATAACTACAACTCTTATAAAGTGTGATGTGACAATATCGGTCAACTCCATCAGTGCCTCTCCCACAAAGGGCCAAAATTGTGAATAATTACAACTCTAATAAAATATGATGTAAAAGTCCGATTGTCTTCAAATTTCCCACATCATAATATTTTTATGAACCCGTGATCTGGTATTAAGAATAATAGAATTAAGGAATAAAAGGTCGAAATTTTGAATATCCATTAAGCTCATAAAAAGCGAAATTAACATCCGACTCCATTTAGACTTGGCACATTTGAATATTTCTAATCAACACAGGATCTGTTATAAAGATGGTAGAGATCGGACCATTCCTTCTGGTACCTCCGCCACAAAGGGTCAAAGTTTTTAATAACTAAAACCTTTAAAAAACGAAATAAGCAACTGTTTCTCTTTATATTTCACAAATACAAATATTTTTCCTAACACAAAATGTTGTGAAGATGGGATGAGTATCCATGATTGCTAACGGACATACAAATTTAATATACCCTTCATTTTATGGATACAAATCGGATACAAATCGAGGCATCATAAATTTGCTACAAAAACAAATACGAACAAAATTGAGTTTACCCGAACAATCTCTCTGAAATTCAAATATGAATGTAAGCAAAGACAAGCCATGAATAAAAAACGTACTTCCCCCAATTATTTTTAGCTTGCCAGTCTTGAATCCAATAACTTCGACCCAAAAATAAACCCTATCATTTAATTTAGGACTAATTTTAATTCAAAGAACTTCTATTTCGTCGTTTTTAGTTTCAATGAAGTTTATTGTCAATTTATATCCACACTTGCAGTTACCTTGCAAAACTTCCATATCATGCGTTTAGATCAAGGCATATTTATATAAGGTATATGCTCAAATTACAACAACTAATACTTTTAAAAAAGCAACAATATTTTTATAGGAAAGAGCGCAATTCAAACTTTTTTCTTATATTCAATTTAAAGTTTAAGAATACTCTCAAAGACGTATGTATCCGAATATAGCAATATCAAGAATGAGGACACAGCTAATATTTCAGGCCATGGGAATATTGAAGTCATTTGACATAATTTTCCATTTCAACAAAGTTTCTGGATTGGATGTTTGCATGGTAAAACTAAGAAGGTAATCTGTGCATTTTCTGTAATTTACCTTGTCAAATTTTGCTGTATAAGGTTTCCATTGTGTATGTACAATGGATTTATAAATAAACATTTTGACAATAAGATGTTGTCAAATAATTGTAAACATATGATTGCAGGACTTTACTTTTTTAATTCTACCATGGATGTGTGTTACCATTCATAAAAACCCTTTGCCACTTGACATTTTTTTTATTACAAAATAAAGTTTAATAAAAAATTATAATTAATAGACTTCCGACTTGATACCATTGACACGTAACACGTAACAATTGTGTGCTTTGAACAATTTCATAACGAATTCAACTTAAATTACAAATTAAACAAATGTATACATGTATACATTTATGTAAATATTTATTTCATTTCTGGTTCCCATAGCGTTGGCATCTGCACTTCCGACATTGTGCCCACATCTAAAAGCCAAACCGATCCAATTTTATTTATTTTGACAGCCTTAACTATATTTTCGGCACAAACATTAGCAGGTTGTGTTTTAATTTTTAGAAACCTTTCGGCCATCGGCTGGCCGTACTCCAAAAGTGTAGTCTTGTCCTTCACATTGTCCAGCAGGGCAGTTTCAGTCAGACCCGGACAAATGGTAATGAAGTTCACACCAGTATGCATGTAATATAAAGGATTCTGAAATGAAAACCTTTGTTCAGACGGGTGTAACAATTTCGAATATCAAGTTGCCATCACTTACCGTCATTGCTCTGCTGAAAGCGGTTACACCGTGCTTAGCCGCAGAATATATGGCAAACATTCCACTCGTCTGTATTCCCGCAACTGAGGAAATATTAACAATCACACCACCACGACCACCTTTCGACTTATCCATGTAGCCCAAAGCAATCATACAGCTGTGCAGGACACCACGCTGGTTTTAGGCGAAAAGTTCACGATGATAAGCTTAGTTGAAACATGATTCGAAACCTATTTTTCTGGAGGTTGATAAATCTCTATGCTTGTTGCCGTGAGTATTAAGGCAAAGATTCAGTTTTATTAGCCAATTATTGTTGGCAAGCCTTTCATAGTAGTAATCACTAGATTATTCTAAGATTGGAGTTCTTCACTTGTTGCATTCTACCGACTAACCGCATTATAACAAGGATTCAATAATTTTATTTAATATTTATTCAAATGTCTTTTACAACACTAACGATAATACTTTCCTAAGCTTAAAGCTTGTGGAATTAAGTTTATTATAAACACGTTTTGAATCGTTTTGGTTTGTTGGGTAATGTGTGTTGAGTATGCTTGACCGCGTTTCACATCATTGGGAGCCGTTTTTGCAAAACAAGAGTTATCTTATCACATTCAGTTTATTTAAATCTGTATAAACATTTCATCGTTTATGAATTGTTTATTGCATTTTAGTATCTTAATTTGTCAAGCTTATCATCGAATTAGCAATTGAGTACTTGTCCTATATTGTTTAAATTCTAATTATTAATGCCTACACATACATATGGGGGTATTGGAGACAACTGAAATTGTAATAAAGAAAACTCAACTCACCAAATTAATATCGATGGTCAGGTCTAGATGTCGATCATTCATGAGACCACATCCATTCACAACAACGTCGATACAACCCATCTTATCACTAGCCTTCTTGTAGGCTGTTTCGATTGTCTCGGTTTTGGTCACATCGACTGTTACAAAACTAATATCGCACGACGTGTATGTTTCTTGCCAATATCCCAAAACTTTTGTGTTCTCCTTCAAATCGAATACAAAGAGGCCTTTAATGCCCTTTTTTAGAAACTCTTCTATGCACTTTTGGCCAATGCCACCAAATCCTCCGATGTATATTATGTTCTTATCTTTTAAATCCATTTTCTTATTTGAATAATAAAATTCTATAATTTACGTAGAATAACACTTCGCTTGCCTCCACAACGACAAATGAAAAAAACTAGTTGGTGGTCTAGTATTTTATGTGAGCAACGCAGTTCCGATAACAATAGATAAGAAGCGTTCGGCACAGTTTTCAGCTAGTATAACAGTATATAAAACTACACTTGGAAAAACGATAGTAAATTTGTAGATGTATTTTGATTTTAGCGGTCAATTCTAATTTGTCCTATTTTGTCAAATTTACGCATATACAGGGTGAGATGAAAAAAACTTCAATCAACTTCAGACTGCTGTCATTTCTAAGGCTGGAAAAACACAAGTGGCTATCGTTAGAGCACTCCAGCATTTAAATGGGAATAAATCTTTTGTGTCTCGTACCATCGCTCGTTACTGTGATGCTGGTAGCGTAGCCCGACGTCAAGGAAGTGGACGGAAGATAACAGCAACATCAGAAGAAATGGTTTGAAAAGTAAAGAAGCGACTTGGTCGCAGTGGCCGTCATTCCGCAAATATTGAAAAATGAGCTCGGGGTAAAGCCATTGAAATTCTAAAAAGTACAAGAACTTACACCGCAACAGAAAGAAAATATACTCAAAAGAGCTAAGAGTTGCTTCGCTTGGACGAAGGCGGTGAACTGCCGAATATGGTTTTCTCCGATGAGAAAACATTCCTGTCCAGCAGTTTGGACATTTCAACAATACTAAGCACCATCGCACTCAGCATACGCCACCCAAGAATGATTACAAAATGAGGTTCCTCGCTTCATTTCCAGCACACAATGGCCACAAAAATCTCCGGATACCAATCCGTTGGACTATTGTGTCTGGAGTATTTTGGAAAGCAAGGTTGGCACTAAAAAATCCCACATTGTCCATCACCTCAAGCAAGCTTGGCAGGGAATGGGCCAAAATACCGCAGAGCAACATTTGGGCAGCGTGTGACGGTTCCATTGGCCGTTTGAAGGCCGTAATTCGTGCCAAAGCTGACCATTTACAACAAAACTTATTCTAAAATTTGATGCTATATCCGACATTTTTTCATTTCATTCAATAGAATTAAAAAAAATTAAAAACTATGGCGTTTGACTTTTTTGCAGTTTTTTCATCTCACCCTGTAATAACAGTTAAACATCATTCTTGAACAAAAAAGACTATTTTCTGAAAAACAAAATCCCAGAGAACTAAATCGGAATAAATTCACTTAGTTGTGGTTTTTTGAAGTTTCTAAATAGAATAATGGTTGATATTCAGATTTGATCCGATGGTTTTAAATCGTTTTGAAACTTTTTATTTAAAATTAATTTGCCGACTTATTTTGCATTTTTCAAGGCAAATTTAACCAATTATTCGTAAATGTCGGTTTTTAGGTCCTGTCGTTTAAAAACTACATGGATTATCATTTTTTATGATTGTTTCTGAAACATTCGAGAAGAGTTTTTGGATATTTGAAAATGATTTCACAACATATGTCGGACTATCAAATCAGGCCCCAACATTTCACTTGCCCAATGACACCTCTAGTAACGACTAAAGTGGATAGTTCCGGAGGAAATTGGAAAATTTGGCAGCAATGTGCTTCAAAAAAATGTTTAGCTTTTCACTTTGAACATTTCAGTGTCCACATTAAGATTAAAACTAATGCTCGTCTTGTACAGGATGTGTAGTAGAAATAAAGTTCTCTATAGGCGGGGTCTCCAAATACATATCTCGACTTCGATAGGAATGAAACATTTTACATTTGCTCCCATTATTTGACACTTTCCCCACCACTCATAAAATATTCTCCCCAACGTTAATAATTTGAATAATTTTGCAACTTTTAGACACACATTGCTCATGTAAATATATATTTATACAACAGACTGCACTTGATGGAAACTATTTGAGTTACATTTGCCAGTGAACGGGCGGTACAATTTCCTTTACACCACCCATGCTGCAAATATACATGCCACCATTTTTCCATTGCTCCATTATGGTAACAATATTCACAGCACAAACTTCTGGTGTTTGCATTTTGGCATCTATAACTGTATTCCAGATCTCATCAGTATGCGAAATCCATTTCATCCAGTCCATGTCACGCTTATTCATCATTAATTCCGTTGATGTCAATCCCGGACAAATGCACATAAAGGCGACTCCAGTCTTGCTGAATAAATGTCCGTCCTACATTGGGATGTAAGAATAAATATCATGATGCACAATATAATTTATTGTCTTAACTCACCGCCATTGACCTGGTAAAACCGACAACACCGTGTTTTGCAGCTGAATAAACACTAAAAGCAGGGCCAGGTTCTAAACCATATACCGAAGCAATGTTCACCACCATTCCGCCTTTGCCATATTGGGTTTTGTCCATCCAAGGCATCAACATAAGCGTAGTGTTGATCAAGCCAGTCTTAAAGTTATACGAAATTAAATGTAGAAAAACATGTGAGACAGGATCATTCGGATCGTAACAACAACCGCATACAAATTTGATTTTGTTGTTTTTGTTAGTAAAGCAAGTCAAAAAATATAAACAAATCAAAAAAATTTCAGTAAATGATTGTAATTTTTAAAATGTGCCTTTTCTGATTTTTTTATTAAATTCAAAATAACGAATGAATCTCCCTGATGAGTTTGATTTCATACATTCCTTTGAATGTATAGTTGTCAGCTGCAGGCACCGATCTGGCAATACTTCGAGGAATTGCTATTTTCCTAGACAAGTAACGCCCCCTTTAAATCGGAATCAAAATACACATAAGGTAAACTTGTAACAATTGTTGAAAATTGAAAAGACTTCCAGTCGTCTGTTAACACAAAAGTTCTACGAAAGAAAGAGGTTCGAGAGAGAAATGTTGACAGCTTCTTTCTGGGGCTTCGATGCACAAAACAATACGTTTGCGGTGGTCTCAGTCGTTGATGATACTTCAACGAATGTAGACGTGCGTGGGGGATGCACGCATTGTTGCTCCGTTAACATTAAAAAAAAAAACAAATTATAGATAGCTTTTGTAGAAAAATATAAATATATGGAGTTTATAATTAATGTTTTTTAATAATTTTACTAACATAAAATTAAAATTCTTGTTACAAAACGTCCAAAACAAGAAAGGAGATATTTTTAACGTGCTTTTTGGTTTATCTCACACACACAAGCGCAATGTTCATTTTGTTCATCTATGTTCTGGGGTTACTTTTTCTGCAGCTTTTTTATGAGAGGGTAATGTAGTTTTATTCTCTTTTGCAAGAAAACTGTGAAAGGCGAACAGACGGAATCCCTGCAAAAACCTGTCAGTAACTTCGTCATAAACAAGGATTAGTCATGCAGAAATTAAAAATAAGCCGATAAAAAACAAAACAATTACGCTTGCGATTTCCAAAATAAAGATGTTTTTAGATGGCATGTCCAAATATAAATCATTGGGAGGAGAAGAAAAAGAGTTGCAAGTGAATAGTGCACAGTGCACAGTTTTCCTGCAAAAGAGAATAAAACTACATTACCCTCTCATAAAAAAGCTGCAGAAAAAGTAACCCCACAAACCTATATTAACATTAAAAATACTACAAAATACAACTAGATTAACAAATCCGGTGCGCTTTTTTGAAATCGATGTTGTTTGTTTTTTTCTATTATCAGGAGCACAATTCTCCACATTCCACTGAAGTTAAATTTTATATTAAAATGGTATATCGCTAATGTACATCACAAAAGGAAATTAAAACACAAAACGTCGGATTCAAGTTAGCACTAGTTTTACAATCGAGTTTTGCTGTTATTTTATAACATACCATTGCTTCGGGTCTGTATGTAAATTTTCAAATAATGTCTTATTATTCTAACCGATCTTTTTTATGTATGTATGATAACCGTTGTAGCAGAACTCTTAATGTTTCTCCTCGACTAGACTTACCAAATTGACTGCAATTGTCGTTTCAACGTCCTTGTCTGCCAAAGCCCCAACGCCATTGATTAGAACATCAACATGACCTGCTATCGATACAATATTCTTCACGGCGCGTTCAATACTGGCGTGATCCACAATATTCATTTGAGCGAAGGACACATGAATGCCGGTATTTAATACCTTCAGTTTCTTTAGCATCTCCACATTTTCCATTCGACTGCAAACGACCAAATGCTACACAAAACTTATTAGCAACATTTCGGTTAAAAATATCAACTTAAAACTCTACCTTAAGAGGCTTCTTCATTAGCATCTGACAGACTTGAAAGCCAATGCCGCTGAAGGCACCAACGTATACAACACTCTTGCCTGACCAATCAAACATTTGGAATCTTGAGTTAAAACTGAATAAGAAGGCAAGATTTTCAGTCTTTTATACATTCCTAAAAAGCTTATCGCTCAAACTTTAGAAATATGTGCATCCAATGTTTGCACCTAATATGATAAGGATGAGCTATGTTACGAACACTGACCCGCCCAGCACCTATGAATATATCCCAGTTTATTCTGGAATGTGTGCAATATCTCCATATCTACAGTGTCTGTGTTGGCGAACACCTGTTCGTACATAAGTGTATTATTATATTTTTGGACAAAATCGAATATTTATATGTGTATATAAAAAGCATTCGTTCGTGCTGCATATATTCATTAAAAAGAAAGAACACACTTCAAACAGGTTCACAATGTCAGTCGATGCATATGATTACATTGAGCCGGATGCAGTTTCATGTAGCGTTGTCATTTTCTTACGTTTTGAATTTACTTACAATTTATAGGTAGTGCTGAAGGTTTAAACACTTTATTTTATAGTTCGTCTTTTGGCAACACAAAATATATGTGGTATTCACGCAAATCTGGCATCAACATCATGTCTAAACATAATTCTGAAAATAACAAATTGGTTTGTTCACGGTCCAAATCATCGATCTAGCAGACTTCAGTTTCCATCATATTTAAATATTCAACTTATGTAAAATAATTTTTTCTCGATTTCCCTGCATCCCTCTTTAGGATCTTTTATTACGATCAATCTTTTGTAATGGTTTAGGAATTATTTTGCTTATAGTTTGCGCACTTCTGCGCATTCACCAACACTTTTAAACGATATTATTAAATGATATGGCAAAATGGAATTTTAATTTATTATTTCAAATTCTCTCTGGGCCAAATTCTCACAATCGGTATCGGTCTAATATCAATAGAAATAAATCTGTATATGAGCATTTTAGATTGCTAAAAACAAAAATGTTTTTTACAATAACTGGAGTCTAGAATATTTGAGAAAATTTCGGTAAGAGAATGTAAAACAACGCAATAGGATTTTCGAAATTTTCGCATACAAATTAAATGATCAACTCAAAACTCTTTCAAGTTCCTTTGTTGGCATATTTCGATAGAGTGTCCCCCAATACAACCCCCGGGTAAGAAAGAAAAAAATTAGATTCAACCAAACATGAACGAAGATACGAGCAGTGTAAAAGTAGTATCATCCCCTCCTCTGCAATGTAAGGAAAGTATTGTTAGGACCTCTTTACAGTAACGTTAGCATGTGAGTTATGCAAAATCGATCGTTTCATAATAAGTATATATTTCAGAATGTACAAATTGCAGATAATTTTGAACAATCGTTGCATACAGATATGTATGATCCTCGCTGGAAAAATCAGTTCACAAAATAATCAGACCAAAGAAATAGTGGATTTTTTAAATGTGCATTTACAATTTAATTTTTAACTCATATTTAAATTTATTATACAGATTTTTTGTAATATGTAAAAAAGATCATTATTAAACATTTAATGGTAGTTAGTTGGTTTTTCTCGTTTTTTTTTCTTTTTTTTTTGGTAACGTACATTATTCAACATAATTTTAGTACATATTTCTTTCATTCGCTATTCTTTCATTCCCTTTTGATTGTAGACCTCCTTCCTTTCTCTAAATTTGGGAGTAATGTAATTTAGCTCTATTAGTTTCAAATTTGATAATTTTTATTTTTAATTTGATTTGAGTTATTTTGCTCTGCTATAATTTCTAAGATTCAGAAACTATACAACTAAATTAATTAGTTTTTAATCATAGACCTTTTCAAGAATGGAGAAGTAGAGTGAGCTTCTTACATTTTCTAAGGTTATGAAGTAATAATAATAATCATATGCATACTTTTCATTATATCATTATATGAGTTTCATCATTAATTTTACATCAACATTTTTATACTCGTCGTCCATGTGACAACATTGGAGAAACTTGTGTGCCTGGGTGTGAGTATACATTTTACAAGTATGAAATTACAAGATTTCTTGATTTTGCACTGGCTCAGTTCTATGCTGTATGAGGCAATAGCTAAGATTTACAATACAGAGAATAGGAACGGTAGTATCCATACATTCATATATAATAACAATTCTACATGAATTTATAGCCAGTCGTCTTAAACTAAGAATTATACATGTCTTGTGAATACATTTCTTTTTACAATCAAAGAAATTAAATGTCTGCCAAACTATGGTTATGTCGGCTTTAAGCGACATTTCATTACAATATTAAAGGGTAAAGTGAAAAATTTATAAATTTAAAATGAAGCGAATGTAGGGATGATGAAACATGTATTCTTCGTTGGTTTACATTGTAGACTTTATCCACAACTACCAGTGCATTGCTCTCTACAATTCTCAAAATGTTTAAATACTTTGTATACACACGACATACCTATGTACTAAGTGATTTAGAAAATTTAGTTTCCTAATAATATTAAAAAGATTTTGGTAACTATTTTTAGAACTTCACACCTTTTTTTTGTTGGAATATCGTTGGGATTAACATTAGATTTATTTCTTATTCAGTACTTCTGCTTCACACAGAAAGGGCTTTTAGGAAACAATGTTTTGTCGCTTCGACACTTGAACTCTTAACTTAATTTATTGTTAAACAAAGCAAATATAACAAGAAAAAATAATGATTTCAATTCATGAGAAATCTATGACGACGTGCTTTAAAATCAATCATACAGACGCATTTTCTTAGCTCACTCCCTTCGCTGTTTGAAATGATGAACGATTCGAATTAAATATACAACATATACCGTCGTGCTTAATTTCTGAAATAATAATTCGTGAGGCTTTTATAAACTTTCTTTATTTGATCTTTGCCTTAAATAAATATTATATTTTCTGCTAACAAATGACATGGGGATTGGGTTGGTTGGTTTTATAATAAATATATATGTATGTATACTCAAAAATGTTGAATTTTTATTTATTAGCTGTCTGCTCCAATAAATGCTATTCCACCCTTTCGAAACAAAAGTCACAATTTTTATTTCTAAAAAATCTTGGCAGAAACGTTCTACTCATCCTAGTGCTCCCCTACTATCTTTTTTTAGTTTATAAAAATATTGTTGTAGACGTGTGTATCATTGTATTATTAATCATTCTTGTTTTGCTTTTCTCTTTTCTTTTTAATTATTTTCGTAATATTTCTTTCATTTAGTAGTTCTACAATTTTCATATATATATTAATTATTTTCAGTTACATTATATCTCTTCTTTGTTTAAAATTCTTGGAAAATTTCATTCAATATATAAATGTTTTTTCTTATTATCCTCTCTTTTTGTTATTGTTTTTTTTTTCTTCTTTTGTTTTGTTTTTAAAACTATTATTTTAACATACTTAAAATGTTTTTTGTTTGTTTTGTATTGTATGTAACCGTATGTATGTATGATTCCAATGTGTGCCGCCTTGCTTTACCCATATTTAAATGATTGTTTAAAAATTTATATTCATTCAAGTTATTACATGTCACTTGATTGGCTTTTCTTCTTTACATTTAAATATAAAGTAGTAATGTTAAAAAGTTAATATATCCTTTTTTGTTTTCTTTTTTCTTTCTTTTTTAATTTACATATAAATTCTTAGGTTCGTATTTTTCATAGATGGGAGAAGGACGTCAGCAGTTTAAAAATACCTTCGATAAATGTAAAGTATTTTTCGTGTGTTGGGTTTGTTATAAAAATGAATTCCTTGATTGATGCTTTCTTTATTTAGTGTGGGATCTCATCAAATTGTCCACAAAGGATTATTGACCTGAAAGTTTAGAGCCAAAATTAAATGTATATTTATGTTTTGTAATAAATTCAATTAAGAATATAGGCAGGGAAACGATTAAAGTCAATTAGCAGTCCGATTCTTTGCATATTCGATTTAAAAAAATGCTCTTTTAAAACTTACCTGCACCAACAGCAGCCATTTGAGGTTGATTTTTAGTATCTGCTAATGCTGACGACACCGTTTTTGATGAAGACGCTGTGTTAGTGTTGGCAGCGGACGATGAGCTTGGCGTTGATGGTTGTTGTGCTTGGGTTTTCAAGTTAGCTGCTGAGTCGTTGCTACCAGCGGGATTAGTTGTATTGCTATTGGGAGCGTTCATGTTGCCATTTGCATTGTTGGCATCTCGGTTATGCATCTTGTTACGATTGTTGCTACGATTGCGGTAATTATTGTTTCCGCGATAGCCGCGATTGTATCCACCGCCGCCACCACCACCATTATAGTTGCCCGCATTACGGCTGTAATAGCTGTTACCACGACCGCGATATCTGGAATTTTATTAGGCATTAATTGTGGGGTGGTGTAACTCTAGGATGTAAATAATACGTACCCTCCACGTCTTGTAGATGAAACACCAAATGTCTCGCTGTTCAACTTGCGTTCCTGACGCCAATCATAATTTTTATTCTTAGCACGATCTTGGGCCGTTTCACAAGAAATGTTATCAAAAAATGATTTTGTTTTATCATAGCCCACAGTAATTTCCTCTTCCTCGGGCTCGTGATCGCCAGCACCGGTCTCATTCCCAGAATCATCTTTTTTATCTGTTTCTCCATTCATCTGCGAAGTAGTAGGAGTAGGCGAAGAACACTTTTAGAGTTAAATAGTGTCATCATTATTTTTTGCAATGTGTTTGTTGTTGCAAATATTTATTTTCATCGCAGCACAACCAAACAATTTCACATTTACAATAAATTGTGTAGTTTTTGTGAGTGGAATGTGCGGATGGATGCAGTGTTCAAGAAACAATGGTTGTTTCAAAGAATGGCAAGCAAAGTTAGGTTACGTTTGCCGGAGGGAGATTGGATTGGATATTTCGTACAGGTGTTCAATTTTTGTGGGGAATATAATGTATGTTGTTTAATATTGATGGGATCGTCCAAGCGCGGTAAACAATTTTAAGGCAGAAAGGGATAATATTGTATAGTTGTAGCCAATTTATGTACGTAAAGATAAATTTCGAAGAAAACAAAAGGTGCGAGTGGTAGGTTGGTTGTGGTAGTAGTTACATGTCGGGATTATGGTGGAAGATAAACGAAAAAAAAAAAATAATAATAAATAAGCAAATTAGTTTTCAATAATGTTATCATTGTTGCTGTTTCTACAGATAAATATTGTGTTGCCTTAATGTTGTACTGGAACCAGATTGTTCTCAGAAAATGAGTACTAACTATTTGGTTCGAATATGTATTAGAATAGAATACTTGTGTTTAATGAACAAAATATAAACGTAGCTTTTGAACGTACAAACAAATAAAAACGAAATAAAAAATACCTGCTCTGATTTGGGTTCATCGCCCACCTTAAGTTTTGCCAATTGAGAGCGAAGTTCTTCAAATTTGTTATTTGCTTGTTCGAAATCAAAGTCCTGTTCAAACTTGATGGGATTGCGAGGAGGTTTTTGCATTCCACCGGGCCCGCTGGTCGATCTGAAGCTCATCTAAAGGAAAATGCAAAAACATTATCATAAGAAGGTCAAACCATAACCATAACTGCTTACCATTTGGGAACGCATGCCACGATTGTTACGCATGTTATTGGGCATATTTCCACGATGCATATTCCAGTTGTTTCGATTTGGATTACCCTGGTTGTTGCCACGTTGATTGTACGGATTACGTCCGCCGCCATCATGATTGTTATGATAATTGTCCATCATTCGACCCGAATCACGGCGATCGCGGGCATTGTTGCGCTGGTTGTTACCACCGCCGCCGCCTCCATTACGTTGGTTTTGATAATTTGGTCGCTTATGTCCAGCATCACGCGACTGACCACCGTGGCCAGCATTGTTTTGATGTTGATTCGGATGATGATGGGCTTGTTGTTGATTTTGATTGTTGTGGTTGTGTTGTTGATGGGCTTGCTGTTGTTGATTAACCTGAACGCCGATGTCTGCCGAAGGGCTTTTTCGCGATATCAAGCTGATGGGGGTGGTTGATCGCGAAGCTCCAGCTAGCATGTCTATGACGGAAACTTCATTCAATTATAATTGAAGATGGAGAAGAAAACAGTACGCATTTTAAAACTCGATAAAAGTGTGTATGTACATGTGTGTGTATAAAAAATATTTTTAATTTTTTTCAAATCAAAGTCAAAGTACAAATAAAAAATCAAATCTGAAAACAGAGTCTAATCTCAGCTACTATACTAAACAAAGTTGAAATGAAAACCTTAAACGAACTAGAAAACACAAAACAATCCGGAGAGTTTTAAAGAAAATATTTCATAATGACAACCAAGGACCAGGGATCCCTTTCAAAGTTAAAAGAGTCAAACATTCCTAGCAAGCATCATCCAAGCTCCAAAAACCAAAAAAAAAAAAAAATAAATAAATAAATAACTAGTCCGAAAATGTTTAAATAAATTTCAAAATTAAACAAATATTGCGATGGTTCCGTATTAGGAAATAAAAAGAAATATACTCGTACATATGTGTTGAGTGAAAAACCTTTCTCTCAGGCAATTCTTCAAAAGATCCAAACTCAAACTACGACTAATACAAATTAACAAATCAAAAAATGAGAACTGTCTTTGAAAATATGTAAATGTGGCATTCTGTGAATAGGTAATTTGGAAAAGAATAATAAATTGGAAGAGTATAAAAATGGGTTTACCCCTCGTCATCACACCTTGGTCTTTGTGTTCATTTAGGGCCGATGTATTTGGTATTTTCTTGGTTGTGGAAACTGAAGCAGCCGTATAGGGCGTTATAGCAGGATTGGAAGTCGCGTTACCAATAATTCCATTGCCACTTCCGCCACTACCTCCACCTAAGCCTATGTTACTTAGAAGACCGCCACCTGAACTGAGACCAATGCCCAATAGACCAACGTTGTTGTTATCGATGGCACAACTGATGCCTATTTTGTTGTTTGCATTGGCGTTATTTGCATTGTTCGCATTACTGTTGTTTATATTAGAAGTTGATTGCGAGCCCACATTATCAACTGTTGTTAACAACGAAGTGCTCAAAGGGTTTGCATCTGCTGTATTACTGCCTGTAGAAAGGATAAGCAAATTATATGGATTATAGGCTATGGACAGACACTAAGAAGAAACTGCTGAAAGTGGTAAGGCGGATGTTTTTTTTTTTTTTTTTTTGTTTTTCTTTTTTTGGTTTGAACAAATCACTATCTACAGCATGGAAGACTCCTTCTAATTGTACCACATTGGTATATATGTTCCAAACAGGCTTGGCTTTAGACATGTGTTGCAACATTAACTTACTTGGTTGTTTTTGCTGCTGTTGTGCTTGTGATTGCTGTCCTTGTGATAATTTCTGCTGAGGCGGTACTTGTTGATTACCCATCATAAATGGTCCCGGAGCACCAGACCCTGGTGCTAAGGACGGTGGGACAGCGCCGCTTCCACTAGCTCCACCAATCGCACCTAACCCTCCCATTGAGCCGAAAGGGTTTCCATACGCTCCCACAGCACCCATCGGTGGTACTTGTGGATTCATACTTGGCATAGATAAATGTGGCATCACGTGTTGTCCATTTGGTAATTGTACTTGCATAATAGCGGGATCATTTGGATGAGGCAAGCTATTGTTTATCACTCGTATATCTTTGATGTCGGTACCGCGAAACAGAATATAATCGTAAATTTGACTTTGCGGTGCAATTTGAAATTGAGTTTCTCGATCTTCCGTACCAAAGGAACGCACTACAAAGAAAAAATTAAAAAAAAAAATTATATATTTATTAGTGGAGCTCGTACACAGATGTAAGATAAATGAGGTATTATTAAGACTACTGTAATATGTGTCAAGAAACTCATCAAAATACCAATATGCTAGCTAATTATTAGAAGCAATAAGTATGTCTGGATACTTTTCCTGCAGGAATTGTCCAGCAACTGCTTTCTGAGGGAGTGAGGTGTTTATCTTTTGCAAGAAAACTGTAAAAAGTAAACAGACGGAATCGCTGCAAAAGCAATTTTCGGCTAGGAGGCAATTCCATAAATAATTGGACCAAAATCATGAAAATACCGAATATCTGGAAATAATTTTATATGGTGGCTATATACACAATTTTTGTCAGACTGACACGTGCATATTAAGAAATTACCATCGGCTACCAGCAAAATCCATTGAAAATGTGGCTTTAATCATCAAATAACCGAATATTGGAGGTATCATTAAATATGGGCTAAACGAAATGGTGGACCTATATGGACTATTCTTTTCAGTGCCCAAAATGAACTTCATGGGCAGAATTTCAAACAATTCCATTGGAAAATGTGGCTTCATAACAAAAATACCGAATGCCGGGAGGTACCGTTATATAGAGACTATACGATATAGTGAACTGATATAGACCATCATATCCTATTTCGTTTCGACACTAGCGTGATTAAAACAGACGGACGGACAAACAGGCCTAAATCGTCATAGAATTTGACGCTGATCAAGACTACAACGCAAAATTTAAAAATGAATCGAACCCCAAAGCAGCTGTGCTTGCGTTTTTCAAAATAAGTTTGTTTTTAAATGTCTAGCCCAAATATACATCACCGGAAGGAGAAGAGTTGCTAGCTAATTGCAAAAAGAAATTTGCCCAGAAAGAAATTGCAAACTCTCAGTGAAAGAACTGTCAAAATTGTTCTCTCAAATCCCCCTCTTTTGCAGATCTTTTGTGCTAACAGACATCTTCTAGTAACAATTTGCAAAAATTGTTAAAATTTTCACAATCATTGAAATATCTGACTAAATTCATCAAAATGCCAAATATCGAGGGGTATCGTCATATAGAGGTAATACTTGGAGCTATATAGACAACTTTTGGCTTAAGAAGACAATTCTATAAAAAATTTGAACAAAATCATAAAAAAATGCCGAATATCGGGTGGTAATTTTATATGGGGGCTATATAGAATCGTAAACCTATCTACAAAATTTTTCGTCAGACTGAAAAATGCCAGCCAAATTCATTGGGTAAAAAACAAAAAAATACCGAATATCGGTGGTACCATTATATGGAGGCTAAACAATATGGTGGACCTATAAAGATTCTTTTTCAGTACCCGAAATAAACTTCAGGGGCAGATTTTCAAATAATTCCATTGGAAAATGTGACTTCATCATAAAAAATACTGAATATCGGGAGGTACCGTTATATATAGACTATACGATATCGTGAACAGATATAGCCCATCATATCTTGATTCGCTTCTACACTAGCGTGATTACAACAGACGGACGGACAAACAGGGCTAAATCGTCTTAGAATTTGACGCTGATCAAGATTATATACACATTGTAGAAGATTATATATAGATTGTTGGGTTTATAATCATTATTCCGATGAGTTACGAAAGGAACGACAAACTTAATATACCCTCCATACTATGTATATGGAGGATATGAAAAAAAAAAAACATCAGAGAGGTCCTACGAAACTCAAGGTAATAAAAGCTGTAACTGCGAGTTATATTAAGAAATATTTAAAATCCATTGATAAGATTCGACATATGCCAATTTATTATTTTCCCTTTTTTCTCAACAGTGGGTACCAACTCAAAAAAAAAAAAACTAAATATTCTCAGTATGACAAGTTACATTTCATACAAATACAAGAAATTGTATTTCTTCAACATTGGTAGGTAAACATATCACCGTAATAATAACCGTTAAATGGTAATTGCCACTCTCAATTTCTCTCTCTCTCTCTCTCTCTATTGTTCGCTCTGTAGCTGAAACATAAATGTCTCACAATAGACGCATATTTCCAATAAGGAAGAAAACTATGAAAAATTAATAAATACAACACGGCCATGTCGTCTGTTGCCGATAGGAATATGGAAAGTGCAAACAACAACACACTTCACAGCAACCACACCGAAATTGTTTCTGTAATAAGTGCTGCAAAATCACAAAAATATCAAATGTAATGACAAAATTTTTGTGCATAGATGTGTATGTTTAACATAATGAAAACAGAATGGCGGTAAATAAAAAAAATGATGCCAACTTGACTACAAAAATTTGGAGGTAAGGTAGGTGGCAGAAAGAAAAGGAAAGAAAATAAAACAACACGACAAAGAAAACAGAAATGAAACACATACATACGCATTTTAAGGAACAAAAACGAAGAGGTGGAATCCACGAAATGCAAAATTGACAAAACTAAAAAATATGTACCGTTTGATAACAGTACTTCGCAGTTTTGTTGTTGTGATTGAAAAGGGGACGTAGGATAATTAAAACTTACCACTTGACAAGGCAATTGTGCACTCCTGAGGATCCACGGTGTATAAACGACCCTCATATCGAATATCGGCCTTAGATATTAGGCTGATTTTTGAGCCCAGCTCCGGCATGCCGCCACTCATTTTGTCGTAGTGGCGATATACAGCTCAAATGGAAGAAATACAAAAGCAGCGCAGTCTTTGCACAATGACTATGATTTTCTTTTAAAATCCGGATTTTCGACAGCAGTTCTGTAACACCTCTAGGGTCGTTATAAAGCTGTCAAAAGTCTTCAAGACCTTTTCAGCACTTAATGAATAGCAAACACTTAAATTTCTCCCCTTTTTTACAACTTTTGCTCTCTTGTTCACGGCTAATCAGACTGCCTTTCGCGAATAAGACGCAACGCACACTTTTGTCGGAACTTTTACAGGAAAGTCAGTGAAACCGCTCTCGATGTTTAAGCGATTTTAAGCACTATTTAATTTCGCGTTGGACGTTTTTCCCAAACGGAAAATAAGTATTTTTCCACAAATTTCACTGCTCTCGACAATAAATTTTCAATAGGCCTCAATAACTTACTGCCAAATGGAAGAAACAATAATGTTCTCTGCGAGCAGTGCTACCAACCTTTAAATATTACATTTTTAAAAGGTTCCCCCATTTTCTCTCATTCGTCTTTTTTAATGTTCGAAATCGACAATCATTGCCACCCTTCTTTACGAATATGGTAGGAGCCGGAAACAACGAATACATGTATAAATCCATGGTATTATACAAATAGTAGCATCCACACAGCTGCTGGGACAATGAACAGTAAAGCCAATTTTGAAATTGAAATTTTTGAATGAAAAATTATTGAAATTAGTAAAAAAATAGTTAAAAATGCATATGTTTACAACCTACGCATCTGGCGTCGTATGGGAAATATATACAAATCTACTTATTTTGACATTTCAATGTTTCCAAGTGTTGATGCATATTATTATTATTTTTTTACCATGTTGGAATCTGATGAGGAAAGATTGTGTGTTTAATATAATCATCAAAAAAGCCTTCTATATATTCTCACCCTAACTCGGGTATGTAATTGTTGCATGTTTCGAAAGTTTGACAATATCGTCATGTCATGGATTTGTTTTAAATTATTAGGTCCCTTTAGTTTTTAAAATTGACACTGACTCCAAACCAATGTCAGCACATACTTATGTTTCAACATCAGTCTCCATATTAGCTTTATCGCTATACTATTAATTTTTTCGCTATTTTAAGTCTGTATGGGTACAGGGTTACTAGTGGGTTAGCTCTAAACTCTTCAATAGTATATTCCTTTGAAGTTTTCCTACCTTAATGGTTGTATCACTGTAAAAACATATGATTTTTCTAGCCAAAATTAGGCTTCTAAAACCCTGTAAACAAATCTTTATCGAACTTTAGATCTCTATGTGAAATTGCAATTTTTGTTTTGTTGTTTATCTTCATCACTCATTACCATTTTGTTTCTTATCCGGCGCCTTGTTGTACCTCCTCTTCCTCTCCAGCAAGCCTGTGAGTTCCAGTGAAATGATATAGTTTGTTTTTATTTAAGAAATATATAACTTTCGAATTAATGTACTCGCTGTACAGTGTGAGTGTGTGCGGAGTTAATTAAAATTTAAAAACTAAGTTTTATGGAATTTGAGCAGATTATGCTTAGAAAAAAGCGAGAGATTGAATTGAGGTTATGCATGCCCATGTCCCCATTTACGACGGATTCAAATCATATTCTAACTCCATGCTGGAATATCATTCAAAGACCCGCACTCTGTCCTTCTAGTTTAAATGTTTATTATCTAAATATCTGTCGTCAGTAGCTGTAAAGTCATAGTGAAGAAATATGTGAAATATGTAGTGTTGTCCGGCCCCTGAAAAGGCAAAACAGGTGGACAAATTAGCTTATTTAAGAACGTCCAGTCAGAAATAGCTTTGAGATGTTTCTACAGACATTTTCGACAAATTTGGAACATATGTAAATATTTTTTTTCTTTTTCCATAGAAATTGATCAAAACAAGTTCAATCGGAACACGCTATATGGCTGTATTTACTCAGATTTTAAATCCCATTAGTGGACAGAACGAATGGGCTGCGAAGGATGACACATACGACTATTACCAGGAAGTGGCCAATGCTGGGTTCGGAGACATGCTTCATGACTGGGAGAGAAACCAGAAATATTACCAAGCTTTGAAGAAAACAATAGCCCATATGCATAGCTTGGGGAAGAAAGCTCATGTTCTCGATATTGGTACGGGCACGGGAATATTGTCAATGATGGCGGTGTCGTCAGGAGCAGATTCAGTGACGGCATGCGAGGCTTTCTTACCCATGGCCAATTGCGCCGAACAAATTTTAGAGGCCAATGGAATGAAGGATAAAATCAAACTAATCAAGAAGAGATCGACAGAAATTGAAATTGGCGTAGATATGCCAAGGAAAGCCAATTTATTGGTCACTGAGGTTTTGGATACAGAACTTATCGGAGAAGGTGCTATAGGTATTTACAACCATGCGCACGCACATTTGTTGACAGATGACGTTATATGCATTCCTTCGAAGGCGGTATGTTTTGCACAGGTGGTTAGCTCTCATTTGGCGGCTCAATGGAATTCGATGAAGATATTAGCTAATTTGGATGGAGACGTATTATTGAGGCCCCCAAAAGAAATTTCCGAATGTAAAGGAGAAGCTAATCTTCATGACGTCCAGCTTTCTCAGTTACCATTAGAAACATTTAGACCAATTACACAACCCTTAGAAATATTTCAATTTGACTTTAACAAAAAAGAACCACGTGCATCGGAACGACATTGTAATATGGAGGCAAAAGCAAGTTCTGTTGGCAGTACTGACTTAGTGTTTTACTGGTGGGAGATCGCACTGGATCTAGAAGGCGAAATCAGATTGTCTTGTGCGCCCTTCTGGGCACATCCTCATCTAAAAGAGATGGCTGCATCAGAATACCCAGCAAAACCGTTGTCCAATGTCATTCCATGGCGAGACCATTGGATGCAGGCCATTTACTATGTACCAAAACCTTTAAATTTGCAAAAAGACGATACGTTTACACTTCTATGTAATCATGATGAGTATTCGTTATGGTTCGATGTAAGTATCGGCACGAATGAGTTGAATAAAAAAGTACCCAGACACCAGTGTTCCTGCAGGATGCACTTGACTTATTCTAGATCAAGGATTGGACAAATGAACGAGAGTATTCGTAACAAACGCTACATGAAATGCCTGGAAGAAAAGATAAATGAGAGTTCCAACGTACTGGTACTAGGGGACAGCTGCTTATTGGGATTAGCCAGCGTTAAACTTGGAGCCAAGTCGGTAATATGTTATGAGCCGCAACAATACTCGAGAGAGTTTCTCAAGGGTATCGCTAAGAACAATCAATTGGAAAACGTGAAAATTGCTCAAAAACTGGGCGACATAACAGACGACGAATTACAAGCCGTTAACTTTATATTCGCCGAGCCATATTTTCTAACGTCCATATTGCCATGGGACAACTTTTATTTTGGAACTTTGCTTATGCAACTAAAGGATAAGTTTCATAAATTCGAAGAAATGCCTATATCGCCACTTGGAGCAAAAATTTATTGCGTCCCACTTGAATTCCTAGACCTTCATAAAATTCGTAGCCCGGTTAAGGAGTGCGAGGGTTTCGATTTAAGACTTTTTGATGAAATGGTGCAGGCAAGTACATAAATGAACCACATATCGGTTGAGGCATGAGTTAGACACATAAATTAAAAACAAAACGTTGTTCCATAAATATAAATTTCTTAGAAATCCATATCAGTGGCTCAGGCAAAGGTAGAGGCTCAACCGCTTTGGGAATATCCTGGCAAGGCATTGGCAAAGGAGCAGGTTATACTGCAAGTGGATTTCAAAAAATTTGATCAAATGCAATCATTGAAAGGAAGCATCCCCATTGAATAGTAAGTTTCATTCCTTACAAATCATATGCATTTGTTTTTAACTTCTTTACTTTAAGCACATCGAGTTGCAATGGGATCGCATTATGGGTCGATTGGTTGTTGGACAGCACAGGCAATCCCAAATCAATTGTGAGCTCTGGACCAACCGAGCCCATTGAAGTTGGCAAACATGTAAAATGGAATATGTTTGTTCGCCAGGGCGTACATTTGATGAGTCAAACGCAACAAGTTGTGAATGGGAAGAGTGAAGTGTCCTGGGAAGTGGAATTTAAACCTGGTAAAGGACTTATAGACTTTAATTTCATTGTAAAATAAGTCGAGAGTTGTTTTCATTATTTTTTTATTGAAGGTTGTTATACAATTTTTGTACATTAAAAAAAAAAAAACGGTAAAAATAACTTAAATGTTAATATATAATATTGATCAGTTATAGTAAACAGTAAAAAGGACATGTAATGAAAAATACATAGAAAGGTGAAAGTTAATAGTGACTAATTAATTTATAGTCGACATTGTTAAGGAAGTCCCAACAGAAGATATCGTCTCGATGGAATCGTTGTGCTGCTGCTTGAATGTTTGCATAGCCTCCAAGTGGTGTATTTCTTGCATGCCGTTTGATTTTTGTATCGCAAGAGCAAATGCATCCAATTTGCTACTTCCTGTTAACAGTGTAGGCATGTAGAATGGCAGATAACAGCGTTTAAAATGTGGCCTGTTCGAATCGTCTATGTCTGCATCTGAATCCTTTTGAGCAGCGGTAGATCCAATTTCTTGGCTGTATGAGCGGTGTATTCGTAAGATTTGTACAGACTGAAAATGGGCGACATACAAAAATGGTTCCCTGTAAAGGAAGCCACATGGTGTATACTCCCAATGGATGTCGTAGGGGCGTGAACGGCAACCGTATTCATCTACAAAAATACCACATTCCATGAAGCATAACAAAAATTCATGCTTCGAAATACGCAGTGCACTGATAGGGGTATAGTCGTGCGCGTGAGAAAGCGATTTATCTGATACGTCTACAAATTCCTCAGCACCGTATGTGGTCAAATCAATCTCGAAAAATTTATCCGATGTCACAATTGCAGAATGTCGAGTGTACAATATTGATGTGACTGCTGTGGCGGTGTCGAGAGCTCTGACAGGCTTAAATTTCTGATATTTAATGTCGTATTTCAGGATCACAATACGATTGGATGTGGCTGCAATGGCTACTGTATCTAAGGGTTGGTCGTTTTCCTGAGATATTTGTACCAATTGCCACTTTTCGGCAGACGTCCGGTTTGCAAATGGCAACTCCAATATCGATGCCTCCAGCGCCGGTTTTAGACAAGCATTGGACTGGCATCGGGACTGCAAATGACGGAAGTCGCATTGATAGAGCGACTCGCCATGTGAACCGACCATTATGGCTTTTGCCAGAGGCTGCGAAATCGCAATACAGCTTACGGCGTCTATACCGGCAATGTGGACTAAGTTCTTGGAATGAATGTGTAGAGCGTAGAGTCCAGTATTGCAACCCAGCAATAGGATTTGATTCTCTTCGATTTCGTAAGCGCATGCCACCTGAATCGGTGTTTCATTTTCTATGTGTGGGATAGCGAAAATTAGAGTATTTTTGTCGCAACTCGCTCCTGGCAGCGGTTTGGAATTGCCTGCGTCCGGCTCATCAATTTTCGCTTCGTATGAATATTTGCCAATAGACTCTGTATCCAAATCTACTTCTAAGGGAGCAGATGGTTCCTGTGCTAGCGCTTCAATACTGTTGGCGGAACTACCATTGTTTGTATTACCAGAAAGCAATTGGGATACACCACCACAATCATTTTTAGCAGCACCACGGCATTTTCTATGGACCGGATCTTTACAAACTCGACACTTCCAAAATGGAGACCCAGCAACTATAGCATTTTGGCACACTACACAATTATCTGTTCCACTATTGGTTTCCTGCAATGACAGCTCAAAACGATGATGTGATGGTACATAATTTGCCGATTTGTTGGAATTTGGCGACGAAGCAAAGTGATCTCCTTTAATTTGGTCTCCTTCTTGGCTGCGCGTTTGTTTCGTCGGGGTTTTACGGGAGTTCTCGTTTACTTCATTTTGTACCCCCATTTGATTTTCCTTTGCTTTCAAAGGGGAACGTCGTAATGTGCTAACACCAACCTCTTGCAGTTTATCCAATTGTTCCTGCAATGTTTTACAGCGCATTTTCTCCCTTTTCAGTTCTTCCTGTAGAGTGCGATATAGTATTGAATTTTCTATAGTGGACTGCAGTTCCTTCTTATTCGGCACGGCGTTTGAATGATGGCCAAAAAGCTTATCAGCAAATGTTTTCTTTTTCTTTTGTGTTAGATCTTCAACCTTCAACTGCAGATAGTCGATTAATTTTTTGTGTTGTGCCAGCGTAGCTTCTGACTTTATATCTCTCTGCAAGAAGAAATTTTCTTTTTCTTCCAATATCCTTTTGAGATCCTGCAATTCACCGTGCAGTTCTGCATTCGATGCCAAAGAATCGGCAAGATTTTGCTGCAACCTCTGGACCTCTTCTTTGGCGTGGAAAAGGTCAGACAGTATGCCAGCGTTTTCCTCTTTCAGCAATATCAATTCGCGTTCTAGATTCTCATTAAGAACTAGCGTGCTCTGGTTTTCGTTCTGCAAGACCTCGACTCTTTCCTGTGTGGCAAATAGTGCTGCAGTTTGCTCCACCAACTGTTGCTGTTGCTCAACAAGTTTGTTCTTCATTTCCTCTAGAGCGGTGTGTTGGTTTTGGACTTCTTGGGACAAGCTGGCAGTCTTAGATTCTAGATCTCGTTTAAGACACTGTTCGTCCCTTAATTTTGTTTTCAACTCCGATTCTACTTGTTCTTTTTCTCGCAGTTGTGAATATAAACGATCAAGTTTTTCTTGATGAGCCTTGTTGGATTTCTGCTCCTTTTCGAGCATCGCCTCCACCTCTGTGAGTTGGTTATCCGTTACTGTGCAGGCGTATTTCAATCTTTCGTAGTTGTCCTTAAGATTTTTCAATTCGATTTGTGTGGCCGAAAGCTGTTCCTGGGTGCATCCGTGTGAATCCCTCTCTTCATTTATTTCGCTAAAGAGGCGAGTGTTTTCGATGCCCATTTTGTCACACTTTTGTTGACACTGTCGAAGTTGCTGTCGCAAATCGCTCAAGCGATCCTCTAGTTGTTTACATTTTGATATGTGTTGCATTACCTAAAAAACAGAGTGGAGGTTTTACCATGAGTAATCTGTATTTTCAGTGAGTATTTGATCTAAACCTTACCTCAGCTTTGCTATCAATACGTTCCTTTTCTGCCTTCTCCCACAAGCGGTGCTCCTTAAGCACATCGGCCTTTAAGCTATTTATTTCCTGTTTTAATTCAACAATCCTCTCCTCCCGTTGTTTAAGAGACTCTTCGGACAATTTAAGCGAACGTTTGACATCATCCCGCTCAGCTTGGACTTTTTTAATGCGCTCTTCGGTCAATTCCATTCGCCTCTGTGTCATTTTCTTCTCGCCCAATGCTTCTTCTAGCTGTTTCTCAACTTTCCACAAGGTTAGATTAGCCGTGCGTGCTGACTGTCTTTCCAATATCATTTGTTCACGAACTGCCGCCAACTTGTCTTCTAATCGCTCGTTTTGTTTCTCCAAAATATCACCGGCTGTTGCATGATGATTTGCATTCCTCGGAGCAGGCATTGGCTTTGTTGGGGATAATGACTGCTCATTAAACTTCTCTAGCATTTCCTCTAACTTTTCAACAATTTCCTGCAACTTGTCCGCTCGAGCTTTTTGCGTAGTTTCATTCTCTTTTGCTACCTCCAAATCGGCTTTTAACTGTTCTTCCATCATTCGAATGTCCGACATCGATCCTGGTGCTGTTTCATATGGCGAAGACTCGACAGCTATTTCGCTATTAGCCAGATTTTTTTCGCACTCCGCCACCTTTTAGTTAATAAATTATGAACATCGTAAAAATACAAATACAAACAAAACAGAAAGATATTTTGAAAATAGGGACGAAGAACTATATATATACATTGCCGGAGAAGGTCTGTTTTGCAACAAAAAAACTAGGTTTGTAATCCTAAACAAAAGAAAAGTCAACTAAGCCGAAAATTTGAATATTGTCAACAATGCTGTAATAATGTAATAACATAAAATTATTAATAATTCGCTCACGGTATTTTCCGAAATTTAGGTGGTGAGGCGAAATATTTTTTTTCTGATTAGCAATTCTTATACGGAACATTTTATAATGGCACGGCACGCTATTTTCTCTTTCAACACGGTCTTTTGCTCTGAAAAGCTTTTCAGAGAATTTAAAAATGGATCGATAACCTAGTCTGTTTTAATATGTGCATTATTGCAGTAATTTCCGAGAAATGACAATAAGAGGAAAATGACTGTTCTAGTTCAAACATCTACGACATTTTTACGCCACCAGGAACGACAAGACAGACACAGGTAATAGACAATAACTTACGCCTAAAATAAAGCACAACAATTATTACCTGTAATTCTCTTTCTAAACGGATATTTTCTTGTTGTAACGTCTCTAACGACTTCAATACTTCCAAGTATTTATGTTGTAGTTCGGAATTTTGCTTGTACAATTCATTGTTGGCATCAATTTCTTTGTTGAGGCGTTTGAGTATATCGTCATTGCTTTTTGCTGACGCTTTCTTTTCTTCTTCCGAAGACTTTGTACTTATCAATGTGTCATCCAACTCCGTTCGAACATCACGCAATTCCATTGTTAGACGTGACTTGTGATCTTTTTCGTGTCTCAATTTTGCCCTTAGCTCTGTCAATTTTTGTTCGTATATTTCGGACAAGCTGGATTTATTTTTTTCAAATTCTTCACGATCTCTTTGGGATTGTTCCTTATGCTGCCTCAGCATTTCCTTGTAGTTCTCCATTGTATCTTGCAAGCGTGCGCATTCTTCTACTTTGAGCGACAATTCAGCTTCCCGCTCATCGAGTTTGGCATTAATTGCGGCAATCTCCATTGTCTTTTCTAAAATCCTTTTTTCGTAGACAGCATCCGACGCGTTTTTAGCTTCATCGTATTTCTGTCGGTTCATGCGCAACAGTTCGGTTATTGTTGCCTCTTTCTTACTCCACATCTCCTGTTCGATCTTCAATGAACTTTCCAGTGTCTTTATTTTAGTGCGCCATGTGGCCAATTCGTTATTTTTTTCTTTAATGATATTTTTCATTTTTATTATTTCCTCTTTGGCATCTTCTAAAGCTCGGGACTGGGTATTGCTTTGTTTGGCTTTTAGTTCAGCGCGAAGAAGTTCTTGCTTTAATTTAGTAATTTCTCCCAGACGTTCCCTATGCTTAGCTTGTTCTTCTTTTAGCTTGTTGTTAAGCTTGGCATAGCGCACGTCCTCTAGTGCGCCATGTTCAATTTTTTGCAGCTCCATGTGAACAAAACTGTACCCAATAAAGGGCAAATCTTTTCCGCAAAATTCGTTGGAATTAACAGTGGAAGTTGTTATTGCCGTATTTTTCGTTCCAGTATCAATAATTTTAGTTTTTTTGCGATTAAAGTCTTCAAAATTTGAGATATCATCTTCGCTTTGAAGTGAAGGTATTATGGGTGGAACTTCGGAACGCAAAGATTCCCAGTTGATGTTTTCAAAGAAGGGATGCTTTCGTATTGATTCGTAATTTAAACGTTTCGACGGATTTGTTACCAAAGACTCAATGAGGCTCTTAAAATGAATTGACAACTTTAAATCGGCGGGAAATGAGATGAGTTCCTTTAGTTTACTTTCCTCACAATAAGTTAATATTTTGGAGTACGTTTCATGTACATTGTCTTCGTGAAACGGCGTAACTTCGCAAACTAGTTCATAACCAATTATGCCCATGGACCAAAAATCGCAGCTTACCTGAAAATATAATTTGGTTACTTATTGTGAGTAAGGGACAAAACTACATATATCACAGCTTACATCGTGCATATTCTTCGATAATTTGTACGTTGAGATCGTTTGCAGCAGCTCTGGAGCAATATAATCGGGTGTACCAACCGGCGACAAACTAAAAACATGGCCATCTCTATCCAACGCTGCTGCATTGCCAAAATCCCCCAATTTTATATGACCAAAGCGATCAATTAGTATATTTTCAGGTTTAATGTCCCGATGAACATATCCCATGCGGTGCAATTCATTAATCGCCACAGTAAGCTCGGCTAAATAGAATCTTGTCATCTGTTCGTCAAAAGGAAAATGTCGAGACATCAAACCCAGTAGATCTCCTCCTGGTAGAAATTCCATTATCAAATACAGGTGCTCGTTGTCCTAAAATATTCACATTAATAGATGTAAGACCACAACTGATTCTAAAGATATTACCTGAAAAGCATATTGCAAATTTGTTATCCATTCAGAACACCTTTTGGACATTATGTCACGTTCCTCACGAACTTGCGATGTTGTGACCACCGACTTTCTAATCTTTTTCATGGCGTAAATGTCACATGTCTGCTTTTCCACTACCAGATAAACATTACCAAAATAACCCTTTCCGATTAAACTGCGTACGCTGAAATCCTTGACATTGACTCTAAGACTTTGTGTTTCTTCGATAATACTTCTGTCTGTAAAGTATCAGAGATTAGAATATATATTCCATTACCCATATGGCTTATGTAGCTATATAATCAGCTCATATTTCTGTAATAACAGTTTAAACGAAACGCCAACAGGAAAATAAAAGCATTGACATTTTGAACAAACTTTAATGGTTAGATTAGAAATATACACTGATTTTATGCTTTAGGATTGTCATTTTTATACAGAGAACATACATTTGTTGACAAATTCTGCAATGTGCTTGTCGCGTTTGCGCAATGATTCTTTATCGCATTCATTGTAGAGCAGGCAAAACGCATCCAGGAGGCTTTCTCGGTTCAAGAACTCCGATAGTAACTGACTCACGCCATATCCTCGGCCGCCTATGTTCAATGTAAATAAAGAAATTAAATTACAAATGGAAAATGATATCCTTTCATTTTCTTTGCATAATCATTTTATTTACATCTTAAATTATAGGTTTCGTAAAAAAAGATTGTTTAACTTCAAATGAACCAGGAAAAATGCAAAATTTAGCAAATTATTTTTGTTAATTTTACATTATTTCAGAAAATCATGGCAGTAATGTAATCACTTTTGGCCTTACTTGGGTTTTCTACAACATTTCTATTCCAATTGGTTTTGGAGTAGTCTTTCCTATTTCTCGATCATTTTATATCCATATTCTTAATAATCTAGGGACATATATCAGTCTTAATCAGATTTGGAATAATAAGCGTCCTTTATGTTTCTTTATGAAGAGTAAATGTATTTTTTTAGCACGACATTCATTTTTCGGGAATTGTACATTTTAGTGGACAAATATTATAGCTTTGCCTAAAATTCGACGTAGCGTATAAAAAAATTTCCAACTTTTCCACTATGGTACGTCCGTATTTCCCAGTCCATATCTAAAAATCTAACAATTAATAACGGTGCTAATTTTGAGAATTTTTAAAAATGACCCTATTTTTATATTTTCCAATCACAACCGTTCCCATTTGATATATAACATAATTTGTTTCTTTTTGCAACACACAAATGATGAAATAAAATCAATTGTCAGTGATGAAAATGTGAAACTTAAAATTTTTGTACGCCCGACGTATTTGGGCAACTCTCATATATTTATGCGTTTGAATTGTGTGGTGAAAAACTTTAGGTTTTTCATAGAAAATGCTATTCCCGGATCGAACTTGATCAAAATTATTATTGTTACCTTTAACTTAGAAGAGTTGGTGTAATGTTTGGCCTATCAAATATTTCATTTCATTTATTTATTTATTTTCATGTTTCCACTACCAGATATTAAAACAATCTATTTCTACACCCCTCGAGCTTCATCCCTAACATTTCATGACATGACCCATTGGAATTCCACAGGAATTGCATATGTAATTTGCAAAAAGGACAGTAACGTTCAAAAGCCTAAAAACAATTAAGAACATTGTGCTAAATTTGGAATGATTTGAACGACCCGAGTTCATCCCAACCCGGCATACTACTAAGAAGTTATATAAGTGATTGTTGTTCGTGGAAACAGCAACAAAACACGCTATAATGCACGCTCATCCGTATCCAGAATTTTCAATCAGGGAGCAATCGTAATAATCGAATCTTCTGAATTTCGTGTTTTCTTTTTAATTTCAATGGTCTTAGAAATAATTACCATTTCAGTATCCAAATGTTTTGGACGCTGTTGTATAAATGTTACAATACAATTTCATTATCATTTGTTGACACTGTTTGTAGGAGGAATCTATGAAGGCATAAAATGGATACAATATATAAAACAATTTCACTTTGGCCATGGATGGAATACTCAAAAAATATGAGCAGTTGTATGTTTTTACGTTTTCTTGCATTTGGCTTCCCCGCTTCCAAACTAAAACACATCACACACATTTTCTTACAGCACCGAAAAAGAGGTTGAATTACACTTACCCAACAAAACATTGTTTAAGCGCACACTTCGCACGCTAATAGCATCCGAACTAATATCCATTTTGCTTTATTACTTGTAGATTGTTTCTAATAACTCATTTTCCTGCGATTAATAAATATTTTTGACATTCTAAAATTTCTCAAGTCAGATGGCGGCAAATGCGTCGTGTCGTTGAAATTCAAAATACACAATAAAAAGCGTAATAAAATACCCATCAATGTATTAAGTATTCGGTACATAGATGCGATTACTCAAATCTATTACATTTCAGAGTCTTGCCAAAATGTTTGCGTTGCGTACAAAAATACCAACCTTTTCACCATAATCAAGTATTTTGTAAAGCCGTATTCCCCAAATACGCATGAAACAAATTGCTGACAAAAAATCATATATTCACATTTTTTCAATATTTGGTGTATTACAGAAGCTGCACGAATCTGCTATTTTCGCATAAAAGGAAAATCGGTTACCGTAGTAAAAACGTGAACATTTGTGCAGTTCCGGAACAGTCTAATTATGTTTTATGTCCTAATTTGAAAACTCCGAATCAAACATTAAAAAACGCCCTGTCAATGTTAAAAATGTTAAATTTTATTCTTTCATTAACAATGTACACGCAAGCATTTAGGTAAATGGTTAGACCTGCACAACAAATGGGAATATGTAATAGTTGTATTCCACAGTAAACAATGTATATGGTATGTTCCAAACTGCAAATATGTAACAATTTTTCTACGATAAAAATGTCAAACATATGCTTTGTTACAGAACCTTCAAGAATCTACTAGTTTTGCAATATTTTCTCGATATCATATAGGAAAAATCGGTTATCGTAGTAAAAACTTGCTTCTGGTTTTGCATTCTTTCGATATTATAAAGGGAAATTCAGTAATCGTAGTAAAAACTTTTACATTCTTGCAGTTCTGAAACCGACCAATAATTTTTAACTCAATACGTTCTCAAATATGGCAGGTAACTTTATTATTACTATTTACTTGACAAATATTGTAAAACGATTAGATTCGTGCCGGATCTGGAACAGAACTGCTGTTGACCGATGAGTCGACAGTGTTAGATATCGATACAATCTACGATCTAAAATGTCATCGCTTGTTTACCAGCTCTAGTTTCGTAATCTTTTCGTGATTCGAATTGAATTTTCTTTCATTCCTCCAAAAAAATTTGTGCTTCTGGCCAAGACGACGATGGCGGCTACGTTAGGAAGAATTTGTGGTTCCAAATTGCTTAAATCCGTACCTGCATTGAATCTGCAGCAGGTACACCAAATATTTCTATAAATCAACAATCTTGTGTTAAATAATATCGACATCATTTGTCTTCGACAATATATTCGTGTCGCGTTATGAAATGTGTTCGAGTGTCTGTCTCTATAAAGAATGACTTAAAATCTAAATAATTTAAAATAATACGTATAAGCAATACAGATTTGACCTAAACACTCCTATATCTAAATAGTGTTGACGCTGCAATGGCAGTATAATTTTTTTCTACGGGGTTTTTCTTACCAGTGACATTATGTAACCTGCCATTGAGGTTTTGTTTTTATTAGAGGTCCAACAAAAACTACACGTTCGGATAGAAATATTTATCGAAAAAATATTGTTTGGAATTTTTAATACATTTTTTTTAATTTTCAGGCTAATGGCTTGTCCACCGCAAAAACTTGGACTAATGGTCAGAAGAAGGTAAGTCTGCATACAGAGATGTTTAGATGGAGAGACGGACGTCGACTCCGGTAATTATTTTGTATGTACATAACCTCAATAGTAATAATAAATGTTGGGAAGGGTAGAAATTTATAAAAATTGACTGGGTTTATAATTTGGATCTAATTTTCGAATTCATTTGCAGTTAGTGGCCACTATCGGAGCCTTGACCGGCGGTGTAGGTGCACTTATTTATGCTCTGGAGCAATCTGTTGAAGCTTCCGGCACTGAAGTTCATCCACCTAAGATGCCATGGAGCCACAGTGGTCTTATTTCAGCTTTGGACCACAGCAGGTGCGAATAAAAGAGCTAACGCTTGAGTCTTTTATATGAAAAAAGAAAGATATATTTTTATTTATTTACTTTCTCAATGGATTTAATTTATTATAGTGTACGCCGTGGCTACGAAGTGTACAAGCAAGTTTGTTCAGCCTGCCACTCGATGAAATACATTGCTTACCGCAATTTAGTTGGTGTAACACACACTGAAGCCGAAGCTAAGGCTGAAGCAGAAGGCATTATGGTAAGCTATGATAAAGACATTGTGAAGCAATTTTAATGTAAATTCAACTATAGGTACGTGATGGTCCTGATGATGCTGGTAACTACTATGACCGCCCTGGCAAGTTGTCTGATTACTTCCCATCACCTTACCCCAACGAAGAAGCTGCTCGTGCTGCCAACAATGGTGCTTATCCACCTGATTTAAGCTATATTGTTTCTGCCCGTCATGGCGGCGAAGATTACATTTTCTCGCTCCTTACTGGTTATTTCGATGCCCCAGCTGGTGTAGTATTACGTGAGGGTCAATATTTCAACCCTTACTTCCCTGGAGGAGCCATTTCGATGGCCCAAGTTTTGTACAATGAGGTAAATCCAAAAAGTTTTATAACATAAATATGCCTAATGTGGTCGTCCAATCTCTAGGTCATTGAATACCAAGACGGTACTCCAGCCACCCAAAGTCAGTTGGCTAAGGATGTGGCTACCTTCCTCAAATGGACTTCTGAGCCCGAACATGATGTACGCAAACAAATGATCATTAAGGTCGTTGGTATTATGACCTTCTTGGCTGCCATCACTTACTACATTAAGAGACATAAGTGGTCCGCTTTGAAATCACGAAAGATTTTCTTCGTCCCCAAGAAAGATTAAGCCATTTTAGTTAAACGCCACATTTAAATGTATCCAATTAGGCTACCATCAGCAACAACAACAATAGCCTTTGATAATAATGAAAGAACTACAAAGAAAAGAAATAATCTAAAAAACCGTTATTAGAAAATTAAAAACAATAAAAATAACTAAAAACCAAAAATAAGCTAAATTACTAAACGAAGGTAATTTAAAAACAAATAAATTACTCAATATCACAATATGCGAAGTGTTTCATCAGCAATAAGTTTTGAAACTAGGTCTTTGTAATTTTCACTGAGTTCCACTTAAGCACCATTGTTGGTTCTTATTTTAACTGGTCACGTTGATTGGGTTTATTTAATTATTTCACTGTCAAGGTTTTACTATGAGTTTCTGTGCATTAATTTCAAAACTTCCCCCCAAGTGAGATTTATAAATTGGCACGCTTATCTGGAGTCAGGAATAATAATTTCAATCAAAGCCCCAATAATGTAATCACAGTGCTGTAAAGAACCATGACTGGATTTCACAGAGGACAGAAAGTAAACGAATATAAAAATAACGTAGGGAAGGTAAACTTTAAACTAAAAACTATACGAAATCAATATCAATAATCAAAATTTTAAATAGCTAGACTTTTAATAAACCACATAAATATGTTAGTTCGGACAAAAACAAATGGAACTGATGACTCTTTCCGAAAGCATGTTACGTATCGTCTGCCCTACGCCTTGGTAAAAAATTACAGCTTTCCCCAAGAAATAGTAGAGAATAAAATCAATATTGAGTTGGTTACAATTTGTTACATTGGAATTGCAATTAAAATGCTACGAATTACAGAAGGAATTATCGAGTTACAACTGCAATGTAACGAATTACAAATGAAATCATCGAATTAAAATCAGATGTTTCAATTTACATCAGTAGTAGGGTTCTCTTATTAGTTTACTACAGAGATAGCGCAATTATCCATAACAACAATTTTTTCAATTGCTTATAATTTCAGCACTTAACGAAATTTATCGTTAAGCTAGCGACGAAAATGTTACTGATTTTTAAATCAAGTTTAAAATGCATTTTTCCATCCAAAGTTGTAGCTTTTCCAGGAAACGGCAAAAAGGGTTAGAGACCCCACCACATAATTAAATTTCATATTCAGTGAATAGAAATTATTGACAAGAGCAGAAGAGAATGCATCCATCACACTTGGTTCCAAACCGATGTCCGTAAAAATGTATTGGCGTTAGATCGTTTGCAAAGCCGATTGATATGGGATCTATGTTACCCGAAAATCTTTATACCACGCTTGACTCCTCTGTTAGAATTATTTAGGATTTGCTAGCATTTTCAAAAATTTGTCATCTTATCAGAAGACATTTAATTTTGCTTGAAAGTGTTATAAACGTAAATTATTTGTTAATTTTAATTAAAATATCGTTTACAGTTTTCATTGTTTTTCTTGTGGTAATTTGTTTTTGTATTGCTGATTCATTTAATTATTCAGAGTCCATTGTTATTTTTGCTCATCTTTTTTTTAATTTATTTTAATGTTTAATTACGATATTTAAGATTAACATTTTATAACTAATTTTAGAATAGTCATATAAAGAAATTTTAGGAATTGTCCATGGGCTAGCTAACTGTTTATATTGAAAATATATAAAAATGAAATCCCATTATAAAACCATACAATTATAGTGTAAAACCGTCGTTGCAGGTATCGCCTAGTTTGTAATTTAAACACATATAAAAGCAACTAAGTTCAGCCGTTCGGAAGCTGTAAGGCCCTCCAACATATGGAAGTAACTTGTAAAATGTTAAGGAGTCCGTTGAAATATGAAATTTAAAAAATTCCGAATATCGGTTGTTACAACTATAAGGATCTATAAAAAAATGTGGACATCTCTAGCTCTAGAGTTATAGGTCAGCGAGAAGGTTGCCTATTACGAACTCTTGTAATAGGCAACCTGAGTTCTGTTGAAAAATGTAGCTAAAATATAAGGAGGTACAGTTAGATGAGAGCTACACGAAGACGTGGATAGGCGCAGGTAATTTTCTGTCACAGGAATTGGTACCCATTGCGAACTCCAAATTTAAAATAATCCCAATGAAAAGTATAGCAAAAATCAGGAAAATACGAAATATAGGGAGGTACGTTTAAATGAGCGCATCGATACAATTTCGGTGAAAAGTGTGACGCAGTCAAAATATCAAATATCAGAGGTTTATATTATATGGGGACTATATATAAACTTGGATCTATAAAAAAATAAACTGCCAATTTATAGTAACTTCTATCCAAAATATAACTAAACCTTTAATCTGG